AAAGGGCCCAAAATCGAACCTTGTGGGACTCCATGTCTCATTTTACCCCATGTTGATGAATCATTTAGATTTAGCTTTGTATCAGTAATTACGACTCTTTGATACCTGTTACTAAAGTATGATTCAAACCATAGCTTTGCTTTACCTTTTATACCATAGAATTCCAATTTCGACAGCAGGACCTCATGATTGACACAGTCAAAAGCCTTTTCGAGGTCACAAAAAATACCTCCTATTAAATTTTTACTGTTTAATGCCTTGTGAATTTCGTTTGTTAGCTTATATATAGCTGAATCTGTTGAGGTGTTAGTTATTATCTTTATTATTAATTGGAAAGTATGGACCCATATTATGTATATAAATTCTAATGACAAAACAAAGAATCCCTAAAGCACTGGAGGCAGAATTGAATAAAGAAAGACCACCAAAACATCCAATATTTTTTGTTTTGGATGGCAATGTTATGATGCACCAAGAAAGAGATTGAAATCTAGCTTTATGGTTGCTGAAAAATAAAAAAGATAGCAGTAACATATCATCTAAAGGCTCCTGTAGTTTACCATTAAGATGAAAAAGTCACATAATAATTATTCAGTTTGGTCTTCTGAACTTCTGAATTGTGAAGTGTTTCTTCATTTTATAGATGTAATATGGTTACCCCTCAAACCTGTAACAATATACATGTGAAGCATAATAACAGTGAGTTTGGTTTCATGAAAAGAATTACACAATTCCCTTCTCATTTCATTTATCTTCTAGGTGGTTTAGTTGTTGACTGCTTCTACAACACAGCAAGCAAGTCGACCTCCGGCATTCCCAGTCTTGAGAGATTCTTCGTTGCCACCTTTTCCAAGATCATCTCTGCCTGCATGGACCACAAAAGCACGTCCCACAGCGTAAGCCACATTTCCAGGATACAGTGAGATGTGACTGTCATTTATCTGGTGAGAAGCATTGCCATGTTGATCTGCCAGTATGTTTCCGAAGTCTCCTGCATGGCGAATTTCATCTTCTGGTGCACCGTGGGTATGCTACAAAATTGTATTGTTATTAGTAGTGCAATTGTGAGTAAGAAAACGGTACAGTATATGAAAAGAGAGAGTAGCATCACCAATACCATAAATACAGACTCTGGTGATTGAAATTTAACCTACAAGATATAGGTAACAGTAACCAAGGAGACGTGATGCTATGTTGTCCACTGAAGTTTACTGATGTTGTCACATGGTAGAGCAACTCTAAATGGGGAGATTGGAGATTGAATTTATTGACCATTTACATGTTGTAACTATAAGTCACTATAATACTATTGCCAATTTCCACACTTTGCAAATCACTACAGCACATGCCAAGTCTCTTCAGTCTGCTGCGGTCTCAACTAGTCGTTCCCTGGTAACGACTCCTAACAGTGGGGATTCGTCAACTGCACTGACCAAGTTGTCTCTTCACAGGTTCCCACTGACTAACTTCTAAACTTGTCCCATTGAAAACTCCATGGCACAGACCACATAGAGAACACCGTTTATTATTATATTCCAATTGATTCCATGGGAATGTGTTCCTTAATAATGGCTGCATATACTTGCTTATGACTTTGTTGCCTAGAAGCAGATGTTCTTTTGTTGTTTGTTTTGAGGTTGTTATCCAGTAACGGTCTTACACTGTACAGTATTTTGGATGAATGTACTGATTCTGGTTTTCTTGCTCCTTGTTTCCTGCTGGTAGTTTGCGTAGTTTACTCTTGACCTTAATGATGGAGGCAGTATATTTCTCTGAACTTTTGGTGACCTTCCACTGGATTACATGCCATCACATCCCATAAGTTAGTACACTATATAGTCACTGCTGTGACAATGTCAAATCCCACAAGTTTTAAGCAGTTTGGCTTTTTATTGCCTTAGTCTCTTCATCCCATTCCTAAGTGTCAAAAGTTTCTCATTAAATAGTCTGCATATAAGAACTAGAAAGAATCTTTTTTAAGTCCCTGAAGTTGCCACAGAAAATCGTTGAAAATGTGTGACCTGCAATATTACATGAAAACAAATGTTCTCTTTGGTTTTTGCACACTAATTGTTAACAGTATTTCCAAACACAGTAACGTAATGGATTATAATCTAAAAAAAATCTGTGGCTGTTCTGTGTATTTCATAAATTCAACTGTAGCACCATCTTAATCTTTCAGAGCAAGTAATGTGATGTGAAAATACAGATTTCTAACAGTGAAACTGGAAAATATTTTTGTGTAAAAAGTTATTCAGATTTAACTCATCTTTCTCTACACAAATAATATATTCTACACATCTTCCATTCATATTCCTACAATTATTCATTTTTATTATTTTTAAAGGATGATTTTTATGTATGGGACTATTTGCCAGGAAATGCAAAACTACTTATGAACAACCTACATTGTATGGATTGAAATGGGGGCCAGCTGCTTTACAGTCATCACCAGTGTTGCCATCACGATGAAGATGAAAACCATGTAGTCCTGGTGGATTCAGTCCTTGTACTGTAACACTTATTGCAACTGGATCATTCTGGGAAGACTGGGACAGATGTATTTGTCCAGAAACTGTAACAATTCAATATTTGCATTATTTGCCATAAAATAGAATGCCATTCCAGAGATACCCATTTTTATGCAGGGTCAGATTTGCAGTTGGGTTCCTAGGGCAGTCAAAATGTGAGGCTTCTAGCAATAATGAAAACTTAGTTTATGATATTTTTTGTTATTTTTATTTCTTATAATAGCTAAAAATACAAATTAACTTCATGATTTTAGAGAAGTGAATGGCTCAGGAAAATCTGTGGATTCTGTTTCTATTTTATGGAGGTCCTGGTGCAATTACCCCAGTCACTGTGCCTAAAATTTGGACCTGTTTTTACGTCTGCTTTGTTATAAACCAATTCTTGAAACTTAGCATTCACAGATAACAGTGTATTACAGATTCATCACCTCTGTCCGTATACACATCACCATCATTCATTCGATTTTGATGGAACTTGATGTTGTATATCTTAGTTAAAATTTATCGAGTCAGGTGGCTCAGTCAGTATAGTGACTAGGCTGTTGGCTGGATGACTGTTGAATTAGGGTTCAGTGGGTTGGGTGGAGAGTTTTCTGTTCACCACTATATCCAGGATGGATCTGAGGCTTAGCTGCTTTTCTGCGGGTAAAGTGATCAGTGTGAACCTAGTGTGCTGGTTAATTAAACTAGCCACAGAACACCTTTAGCTGAAATTTATCTAATATATTTATTTATGTAAATTTAGTTACCCTTTTACCTGAAATCACAAAGTTTAGGTATAAGAATGTTCAGGTTTTAGAATGGCAACAACAGAATAAGCGCTTCATTTTACAGCAGTAATTTAGTATGTGTGCAGGGCTTGGTCTCTCAGCCTAGGGGAAGACCCTTTTTTGAGGATGTTTGAGGACAGGGTGCTGAGAATTTTTGGATCTAAGATAGCAGAATTAATAGGCCAGTGATGAAAATTGCATAATGAGGAGCTACTTAACTTGTACTTCTAACCAAATATTATACATAATAAAACAATAAAAAATAAAAAGAGGTAAAGCTGTCCCCTGTAACAGGCCATGGAGGCCTATAGGGTTGTGAGACTGCCATATTTTCTAGACAGTCAGCTCACATATGGTGGTGAGGAGAGAATATGATGGGCAGGCATAGAGTGTACATGGGACAGACTGAATTGAGAACTTAAAGAGATAGAGACAACTTGGAAGACTTAGAGCTAGATGTGAGGATAATATTAAAATGGTTCTTAAAGAAATAGTGTCTGAGAATATGAGGTCAGTTTTTCTAGCTCAGGATAAGGTGAGTAGTGGGCTCTTGTCAATGTGATAAATTTTTGAGTTCCATAAAAGATGGATAATTTCTTGGCTGCTCAACTGTCAGCATTTCAAGGTGTGTGCTCCGCATAGTTAGTTAATTAATTGTAAGACTGCCAATTTGTGAATTTCTAACATCTGTAGAAAGCTGGACACTTCATATATGCTGCTATGATATTTGTTTCATCACTGCATAATGTTGTATAATTCCGTACTTCAACTGTTATATACATGTCTATGAAAAATGACTTAAATTTTATCATAAGCTGTCGCTGGTAAGCACAGGATAGGCTGCATATTATATAATTGTTTGTGTACTGCAGATGATTCAGCACATTGCTGTGGATTTACCCATGAAGAATTCTTGGAATAAGATACTCCTATTGTTCATCTGAATCATGTAATTGTCCAAGGCTGAAGTTAATTGAGCAGACATTAAAAAAAACTTTTGCCTCAAGTTAATTTGCAGTTAAGTGTATCTTCATTTTACTGTGACTTTTCCAGGCTTGTTTATTTTATTTATTCCTTTCTCTATACCGATTCTATCAGTATCCGAGATTATGCAGCGTCAAAGGGTATTATGATTAGTGAATAATGAACTGGAAAGGATATGGAAGGAAGTGATCATGGTCTAATTTGAGGTACTATCCCAGCATTTTCCTGGAGGGATGGAGGAAAATCGTGAAAAATCTCAGTCATGATCGTCGGTTTTCCAGCCAAGATTCAAACCAGACACCTGCCAAATACTAGCCAGAGGCATTGTGACTTGAGTCATCTTGTTCTGAAACAATCTGGCACACAATAAAACAAAGTTACACTTCATGTTGATTCATAACTAAAGGTAAAATAAAAGTAAAGTTTGCCCTGTGCTTCATTAAGCGCCACTCCATGAAGACACATGGGTGAGGGGAGATGGGAGATTTAAATAACTTCAAACTTAACCTCAGGTCTGGATGGAGGTGAGTGGCCAGATTCATGCCATGTCTTCTCTTCTCCCTGGACAAAACCTCGTTACCCACACATATAGAGGGCTGGCTGTGCCCAACAGCCAGTTTGGATGCTGTTAAGAAAAGAGAAATCTCTTTTGGCCCTCCTGCCCTGAAGTTTAACCCTCCAGTGTATCCTCCAGTCCATAGCCAAGTCACTATACTGACAGTTATCCTGCTTAAATGCATCTTTATAATATTGTTACTTTCACAATTAAGACTCCCTATGACACATTAAGTTGCCGGTCACGGTAGCCGAGTGGTCTAGGGCATTCACTGTCTTCGCTCGCTCAGAAGCCGGGATCGTGGTTTCGAATCCCACTCAGGGCATGGATGTGTGTGTGCGTTTTTCTGTGTTTGTCTACAGGTAGAGGCCTTGCGATGAGCTGATCGCTCGCCCAAGGAGTCCTACCGTATGTGTAAGATCTAGAAAAACCGAAGTGAACGGAGTTCATGGAGGTAGGCCTAGGCCCACTGGGGCTGTAGTGCCAAGGAAAAAAAAGACACGTTAAGTTACCAGCTAGTCTGAAGCATGATGGCTTGTATCAACAGGCACGTTATGGACCTGTGCAATTCTCCTCAGCAATGGATTCCAGTTGCAAAGTTAGTCCAGTTAACATTTTTCTCTCTGGCATGTCTGCTCTGTTGAAAATATCTTCTCCAACATTATAACTCTCTTAAGATTACTGTCTTCTCTGATATGATGGTGGTAGAAAGCTATCAATATTTCAGAGGAATCTGCTACCTCCATCTTCAAGATAGAATCACAGACTGTAACATTCTGTTCACTGCTTCTGGTGTTTACCTGTAGAATCCTTAGAAGCAATCAAGTTGCAGATAGCTTCTTTAGACTGCCTGAGCTGGGTCACTGGAGGACCTGACTCATAGCCTGCCTGCACATTGCCTGCATCCTGGAATAAATAAGTAAATAACATTAAGATCACAGTCTTCTTCGGTGTGATGCAGTGTTGTTTGGTAGATATGGGTATGAAAATTTTATTGTGACTCAACTTCTAGAACAAGCATTGTGCTCATGATTGTTTAAGGTATAAATTTTCATGTATTTCAAGTGTTGTTGCTGAACATGAATTATTAAATATTCTTCTATCAGTGAAAGAACCAGCTTCCAAAATCCTCTATTTATTTAACCAAAATGGCATGATGGAAAATGTCCAAATTATCTCTCAGTTTAGTAACACATCTTTGCCACAGATATGTAGGTGTACACTTGGTTGTCGACTTACGACTGACTTCCGTTCTGACTGACAGGTCGTAAGTCGATCTGGTCGTATAATGGCCATATATTTATTAACAGTATTTTTTAACCTTTCTAATCTTTTTATCATCTTTATAATTTATTTTTAAAAACTTTTACATTTTAATCATCTTTTATTTTTTATTTTTTTGTGGCCGTAAGTTGCATAGGTCGTAAGTTGACGATCAGGTGTATATGTAAGTATACCTGTTGTAGATTACCATGTTCTGGACACTGGGCAGAAGTCACAGACAGAAACAGTAACAACATCAGAACCCTGAGAAGTAAAAACCACATAGTTGTGAAGTGTTACAGATCAACTAACGTGCATAATGGAAGAGTGGACCATAAGAATGAAGAATTATGGATTAATACAAGTTAGGTGCCATGGCAGTTAACAGGACTGTGGAACAAATGAAGAAATTTATAACTATAAATCCACCACTACAGGATTTTATGCAGTACTGTCATAGAAATTTATGAGGACATGTTTAAGGAATGAGTTTTGTTTGGATAAAAGAAATATTAAACATATTCTTCCAGAGCAATAAGATATTTTAGGAGATCTGTAAACAGACAGACAGGCTCTGTTCTGTAATGTTTCATAAGTGGGTCAAATACTGAGGACATTATTTTTGAGAAAAGAAGTCATGTTAATGGGGACAGGAGAGACTTATCAAAATGGGGGATGGTAGGGTCCAGAAAAAATCATCCCCTGATCCTCAAGTTTGTGGTTTGCATGAGGCTAACCACCTCACCTATGGTAAGAATACACGTATGTGTTGTAATTGTAATTTATTTTGAGTTCCAGAAGATCCAACAAAACTGGTTACAAACCATAGGATATAGAACATGTTAAAATACAGACTAGAACATGTCAATATAAACAAAATATAAAAATACAATACAATCATAAACACAGTTAAGAAATTATTTTAGCTCAAAAGAGCATGTCACAAATATAAAGCAAAAAATATATAAATTAAATAAATAAATAATATGAATGGCAACAAATATTATCATAAATACAATAAAACTTTTATGCAGATAGACTCATATAATTAGTATAAGATAACATGCAAATTAATTTAAAACCATTATTTACAACATCATTCATTAACACTATAATACTCCTCCAAGTCATAAAAACAATGAGTAATCAAATATCTTCTTAGAGAAATCTTAAATTGCTTGTATTTCCCAACCATCCCCTTTATTTCAAGAGGCAAATTATTAAATAACTTTATACCCGTAAAATAAACACCTTTTTGATACAGTGTTAAGGTGGAAGTTGGGAGATATAAATTACTTCTCTGTCTTGTCTGGAGATTATGTGCATCATGGTTAGTAGTGAACAGTTTACTATTCTTTGATACAAAGAGCAAAACTGAATAAATATATTGAGACTTCAATGGTAAGATTCCTAGCTGCCTAAAAAGATTTCTGCATGAATGCCTATTACTATATCCTGTCATTAAACGAACTGCTTTTTTTTGTATCAAAAAGAGTTTCTTGGTATTAGTTGCTTGCCCCCAAAATATAATTCCATAAGATAGTATAGAATGAAACAGAGAATGATATATCTTCACTAATGATGAGCCTGTGTTAAGGAACATAATGATGGATTCCAGATGGCTTGATTCTAATAAAGACAATACCACAACCTGGGGAGGAAACACGCAAACCAGGGGCATATGGCAGTCATAACTGAAAAGTAGGCTACGAACGTGAGAGGCAAGCTGCCGAGACAAGACACTCTGGACAGGCATACATTTATGAAAATGGATGACACTCCATGTGAGGTGAAATAATATGCACCGTAATAACATGGGTGTAATAGAAACTTTAAAGGATTTTATGTGGTTTTACCTTGAAAAGAGGACTACAGCATGTGATTTTAACATGAACTAAGACAGTGTAGCAGTTTTAATACAATTTAATAAAATAATTGTAACATATCAGGACTGTGTTTTTCTTTGTGTCTTTGATCAAAATGTGTTTTGTGACACTGCTGTTATGCAATACTGTGTTTTACTTTATGTCCTTATTGTGCTCATTATGAATGTATGTATATATCATTATTTTATGTTTATATTATATTTGTATCTTGACAGGTTCTATATCCCATAGGTTGGTTTGACCTTGTATGGATTAACAGAATGCAAATAAATGAATAAATGAATGAATGAACACCTGAAGATGTCCGTTTGGGGCTGAAACATGTAGTGTCAAGGTGTATACTGTTAAACTAAAAAAAAGGGGGTGGTGAATGGAAGAGTGTTGCAATATTGACGGACGATAAATAATGGACGTTAAATCCAGATGACTTATTTGGGAAAATAACTGAAGAAAGCTTATAAGGACAGTGACATGTCTTTCTACTTGCTAGTTGAGAAAGAGTGGTAACATACTTTGTGGGCTTGCAACAAGATTGACACGTATATGTTGAAAATAATTGGCAGTTTTTGATTTATTATTTTCTTGCGTGAAAATGGTGGGGAAGGTAGGAGATTCATTTATTCATTCATTTTTGTATTGTATTCTGTAGATCAAAATACATCAATATATGACATGTCTAGCTGCATCATTATCAAAATGCATTAAGGATTATGGTATAAACTTATTAGAAATATAGCTTCTTCTATACATCTGCTTATGAGTAGTGAATATTACGGAATTCTTCATTGAGATGATCTTCCAATGAATAATAGTATTTTGCCCTGACCAGAGACTACTTAAATTCCAATACAACTCAATGAGGTGGGGTACTACTTGCATTTTAAATTTTATTACGATGTTCATGAGGAGACATGACCTTGAAAATACTGAAGAATGTGTGTGGATTGAAAGAGGATGACCTAGTTAAACAGATGTAGAAGACACTGAATGGCAAACTGTGCCTAATTGAGGCACCTGATGTGAAGGTAACAAAGGATTGTGCAATTTGCTCCAACTGAAAAGTGAAAGGAGGCAGAAGAGAAACATCGTTTTATTGTGAAACATGTCCAAGGAAGCCATGACCAGTGCTGACATCTGTCTTGAACTTATGAACATCATCCTCTCCAAAAGAAACATAGCTCTGAGATTATATCAAATACTTATACTTTGTAAGGTCTGTACATATTATAAATTGTTTAGCCATCTCCAAAATTATAATCAAAGAACTGGGCTTGATTTTATTCTCTGAAGAATGATAGCAAATGCATTAACGCCATTCACTGTATGTGTGGCTAGTGTAAGCAGTACAGTCCGTAAGAATATTTCTCACAGTATTGATGGAACAGGAATTTTGATCTTCGCAAATCATATTTTCATCATACAATATTTCTTCCATTTTATGCATGTTACAAAGAAGTAGCTGCAGTTAACTTGCTCTTTGGAATTTAAACAAGACCAGCAGGAACCGTTGAGGTATGCAAATGGGATCGTGAAGGGTAAAAAGAATGGGCATGTCACCCAACTCAAAACTGGTGAAACTGTAATAACCAACATCAGTGTATTATTGAAGCCTTTGCGGATCATTTTTCTTCTATTTTTGACTCTCTCTCTCTCTTCTTTTATTATTCCAAACAATGCTCTTTTTATTCTCCGGTTTTTTAAACGTTCCTTCGATATCCGATCAACCTCTCAGCCCGTCAGTCCAGATGAAATCCCCAGCTTTAGCATCAACGGTTGCTCAGAGATTTTTGCCCATATTTGTAATATTATGTTTTTACTAGGGAAGTTTCACACTCCGTGGAATCAAGTGGCTGTCGTTCCCTCTTTTTTAAAGTACCAGGGCTCTAGTTATTAATTACAGACCAATTGCAATTTTAAACCAGTTTTACAAAAAATTTGATAGTATTATCCATGATCAGCTCTGCTTTTATTTTAAATTGAAACTTTACGCATATCAACATGATTTTTATTAACTCAAAGTCTATTATAACCAATTTACTTACTTACCTAAACTCTGTCACAGTTTGTCAGTTCACAAGGGCAGACTGAGTCGATTTTTTTAACCACAACCGAGCCTTTGATAAAGTTCTTCATTATCTTTTTTCACACAAACTGAGTAATTTTGGACTCTCTGATTATAAAATTAATTGGTTTCAAAGTTTCAAAATTTTTTGTTATTTGCTTTTTAGGGAACCCTTCCTCAGTTTTTCCCATGCTGTCAGCAGTGCCACAAGGCTCTAAATTAGGACCTCTGTTGTTTAATATTTTGCCTAGTTTCTACTCTTTGCTAATGATTTAAAAATAGTATGTGTCATAAAATCTGCCAAGGATCTTAAATTGCTACAATCTGATGTAGACCCTGTACAGAAGCGATGCATTAAAAATTATATGAAAATCACATTCAAAACAAAATTTCTTTTACTTGTAGCATGGTTGGTTGAAGCACTATTCTACAAGCCGGAAGGTCGCAGGTTCAAGTCCTGATGAGGTCATTGGATTTTTTCAATTGACCTAAGCCTTCCAGCTGCACTATGGCCCTGGGGTCGACTCAGCCTCTAACAGAAATGAGTACCAGGAATATTCTTGGGGGGGGGGAAGGGCGACCGGCACGTAAGGCTGACAACCTTACAGCCATCTGTGAGCCGATTGTCTAGAAAATGTGGGACCCTCAACGTCTCACAACCCTCTGGGCCTCCACGGCCAGTTACAGGGATACCTTTGCTTTTTACTATTACGTTTTAAAGCTGTTAGGGTAAATTCGTTTCATCTCATAATTTTCCTTCTTTGGATATTGTCAAATTAGAGATTTTTCGCCGTTAACGTCAGTAATGTCTCAGTGTTTAGCCTTTCAACAAGGTGCATCACAGCTGCAAACAACATCTTCAGATCTCTGGACGTTTTCAGTAAATAAAACATCTCCCTTGAGGATTCATTTTCCTTTGTTTAATCCTACTGAGTTAATATAATCATCGTGTTACCTTTATTATTTTATTGTCTAGTATTAAATTTTATTCTAATTCTATTTCTAATTCTAAACTTAGGCAGGCTTTTCTTATAAACACCTTCATTTCTCGCCTGTTATAGGCCACTCTTTGTTGGCAAGCACTTAAATAAATTTATTATTATTATTATGTGGCATACCTTAAACCGTGCGAACTGTTCAGAGGTAGAAATCAAGCTTTTGTCCCCACCTCCTGAATATTTGGGTTAAATCGAAATGGAAACGAAAGAAATAAATTGACCAGTATAAAAGAATTTGCATTATTTTTTAAAAAATGTAATCCTTCTATCCTGAATACTCTAGGATGATTCGTAAGAATGCCCTTAGGCGGTTTAAACATAAGAAAATTTTCTTTGTGCCTTCGGTTGTGGGGGGAAAAAATATTCCCGATGGTGCCCATGCCTCAAATTTTTTCTCAAAATGCTGTTATGCGAATTTTGTGTTAAGCTGTGATGTCTCCCACCAATAGACGTTCTGATTCACCTAGTATGTATAATACGATGCGCTGCCTCTATCGTGGTAGTGAATCAAAGTACTTGAAAAAATAAATATAACTAACGCGAGGACAAAACAGCAGCCGGGTTAACAAAAGGGAACAGAAGCTTAAAATATAGATTTTAAAGCGCGAAAATGAATTAAATAGTGCCCTTTTTCTATCAGTCAATTATTTTGCGTGTGTCTGAAAAGAACATATGTTTCAGTTCTAGAGTGTATTTTCTTGTTCTCAGAAGACACAACTTGAATGCAAAAATATGTTCTGTCATTGTATAAACATAAACGTAAAGTTATCCTTGTAATAGGGCGTGGAGTCCCGTAGTGTTGTGAGACCTCGAGGCTATCACATTTTCTAGACAATCGGCTCACAGATAGCGGCGAGGTCGCCCTTACACGCCGGCCGCCTTTTACCCCGAGGAATCCTGGTACTCATTTCTGTTAGAGGCTGAGTCGAACCCAGGGCCATAATGCGGTTGAAAGGATTAGGTAAATTGAGGACTCCAGTGACATCGGGAATCAACTCGATCTTCCAACTTGTAGCATAGCGCTTCAACCAACTACGCTACCGCTTGCCCCGTACAAATATTAAACGGAACGAAAAATATTTCAGAGAGGAAAAAAACAAACTTTTTATACCTCTTAATTTACACGATTATTGTTTTCTTTCCAGAATCCTGAAAATATGGTTCTAAGCCGAACAAATTGCTACCAAAGGTTTTTACTTTACATTTAATCGGCTGCAGAATATCGCCATGTTTAACAGTACATCTGTATAATCTCTTCTACTCTATCACTTACCGTGTTTCCTTCATACTGACAGAACTTCCTCGAGCTTTTGTAGCAACGACAGGTACCATATGCAGTATGCAAACTCCGCGACAGAAGAGAAGAGTTTGGTCTCGCATTCGTATCTTTTTCTCTGTCTCTCTCTCTACAGCTTCGTTGCACAACGACCCGTCTACCCTTCGGCTTGTGTAGAAAGTAATTTCAATAACAATTAGGCGTAGTATCCAAGGAAGTGAACTGACACACTTGTTCGGTACTGGTGCTGGCAAAGTGTACAGTTGCCACAAAAATAGTTAGGAATGCCTTTGTACTGTTGGTTACTTTCTGTGTAGATTGACGGAGAATGAAATGATAGGATGTGCAGTCTGGAGTATGTGTTGATTTTTGTTATTTGTAATTTTGTAGTTCAGATTTATAGCATCGAATGACAGGATGCTAAGCGAGCAATGAATTGCAAAGCATTTGGAAAGAAGGAGTTAGAGATAGGGCATACGAATCCGAAATTAAGATGGAGAGACTGAATAAAACTACAATGAAAATCAGGGTAGTCCGCCTCCGCCACGAAATTCGAATGCGGACCTCTGGAATACGAGCCACTGTCCACTTGGCAGCGACGGCGCGGAGGAAAAGAAAAACGCTCTTCTCTGTAAGGTATCATTTTTTTTAATTCGCTTATTGGGGGGTGGAGTCCAACTGGGTCCACTCGGTACGGCGGCCACTGATTGGCTTATTGTAGCCTGCCCCGGGTGATTATGATGATGGAGTCTTTGGTGGAATGAAGATTGGCAGGGGAAACCGAAGTACTCGGAGAAAACCCGCCCCAGCGCCAATTTGTCCACCACAAATCCCACTTGACCAGACCCGGGATCGAACCCGGCCCGCCGCGGTGAGAAGCCAGCGACTAACCGCTTGAGCTATGGCGCGACCTTATAAGATGTAAGTCACGCATCAACCCGAAATCGTGCCAATACGAAAAGGAAAAATTAGCAGTTAGCTTAGGGCAAATGTAGGATTTGGGGTTCTGCAGTGTTGGTTATGAAGAGTTCTGATTCTGAGAGAGACCTCTTCAGTTCATGGAGAGGCTATTAAGAACATTTTCTTTCAAATCTCAGTTTTAAAATTCTGTATGATCAGATTCAATTGAAAACAAACTAGAACAAGAAGAGAACAATTATTCACACAGGCCAGAAGGGGCTAAGAAAAGAAACATTCTAAATACCTACGAACATCATTTCCAGGACAATTTTCCCATATCTTGTGGTTTTCGAAATGGTTATACAAAACGGATTCTTATGCGTTGTTATAATAAAATATGTCGTAACTCGAGGGATATTTCACTGATTTTACCCAAGTTTTACTGGGTTTTCACCTGGCTTGCTCGTCCGCCCCGCGTATTTTAGGCTATCTATAGATGATCGCCGAAAGTTAACATTCACGAATTGAAAATTTGGAGGCAAAGAGAACCCGTAAGAAATGTTGCACAGATTCCTCTGTCCTTCACATCGCCCCTATGGCTTTCATAGTTATATCAAAAGAAACAGTCAGTTCTTCATCGCGGACAGTTTAAAGGGGGCGAAGGGGGCTACCAGAAAATTTGTCGTTTAAGACTTTTTACAATTCTTTGAAGTGAATTTTAATTTTTATTATTCATATTTGGTATATTCTCTCCCGTGCTTCAAGTCGTATCTGCCTTTTAAAAATCCAGGTGTTGGGGTAGTTGTCGAGTCTCCTTCCTCCTCACCCCTGCGCTCTTGCTCGTATAGCGTAATATTTTGTGGTTTAACAAAGACACCTTTTTTTCTTAACAATTTTGCAATTTTCTATGGTTAACTGGTGTCATTATGACTGCAGCCCGCTCACAATCTCCGGCAGCGACAGATAAGTTGTTCCGACAAATGAAAATATTCATAAGAACAATGTCCCCTGGTGCCTGTCCGTGGCAGTTCGTATCTGTGATATGTCATGTGAACATACTCCTTAAAATCCATTGAAGAACATTTTGTTGGTCCGTTGCCGGTCCATTCCTCATTGGTGACATTATAATAAGGGAATGCGCACAATGTGCATAGAGTAATTGTTTGTTTGTTTTTATTCGTGACTGTATTCGGTTATTGATGTGGTTAAGTTTTTGCATATGGTAATGTGGTATCTACTGCACTTTTTATCACAGTGTTTACACACACACGCGTCATTTGCTTCGTGGAAACGTTCGTTCTTGCATATCTTGTGGTGGAATCCGTGTGTTGCCAACCTAGTAATTGTGTGTCGTAATTTTCTGTTGGGTCCTGTCCAGGTTCTGTCAGTCATTGCATCAGTGCTGTAGAACTCTTCCCATATTTCCTCTCTTTTTTGTTTTCTTTCTTTGATAACTTCCTCTGAGTTTTTTGTGCTTGGCAGTTGATATCTGAGTTCTTCTAATAGGAAATTTTCCTTGCAGAGTTCGTATGTTAGTCTGGATTGTGTGTTCTTAGGAAGCCCTAGCGCTAGTTTAAGGTATCTTGCCTTCACTTGTTCTATTTTCCGCAGGTTTTGTTTGGATAGTTTTTCCCAGGTTATCTCTATGCCATATAGTAGTATGGGACAAATTTTTGCATGGAATATTTTCATTGCTGTTTCTAGCGATAATAGTTGCAGGTTTCGGATGGTGTATATAGCTTTGATGGCTGCTGTGCATTTTTCTGTTATGTGTGCCGTGAATGTTGTAGATGTAGTGACATTACGAACAGTGTGAATCGTGTGAATAGACCTTAGAAGCGTTCCATTTTCCCGCAACAAAATTCAGTGCGAATGAATTGTTTCGAGTGTTTTTAAATGTTTGAAGTATTCGATAATCGTATTTCGATTGTACCAGGTAGTACTTCCGCAACGGAAATTCGCACAGCAAACACATTTGGCGCTGAAACCTACGAAGGAACTATTGTGCAGTTCTTCTGTCTCCTGAAAGAACGTATACATAATTCAGAATGGTCATAGAAAAATCGGAAAAGATGTTTGTTATAAAGAGAGGTAAGGGACAGTAACTTCTAGGTAGTATTACTATGGCAAATTTACTCGCCCCACAGACAAGGGTAACTAATAAAGTCTTGGAGAGGGAGGTTTTTCTTTTGTCCTTGGTATAAGTGGTTTGAGTGCTTAAATTAAGAAATATAGAAAAATGTTTTTAACTAAGAAATGTAAGAGAGGAGGAGTATATTTTAAGAAGAACCGGTACAGGACGTAAATTTTGACCTTTCAGTAACTGCAGGCGCCAAGAAGCCCACAAATTTTACATGAATTGCATGAAATGAAAAGTGTCAATGGATGAAATAGACCTCGTGTAAATACTAATGTACCCTACCTCTTAACCATTTACTAACTTCAGATTTGATGTATAGTTCAATCTGTTATGAGGTACCAAATTACAATGTGTTCGATCATTTTCATAACAGCCAGCGTATTGACATTTTGAGAATTCATTAAGAATGTCTTAATTGCTGGAAAACCGAAAGATTTTGGCACATCTGTACTCTAATTGCTGGACAGTAGATATACTAAAGTGATAATGAGAGGGATGGAAGATGTAGAATGTATTCACACACATGAACTATCCAAGCTCACATAAGCTAAAGTGATGTAACATCACTGAATCATTCCTTCATGTTGGCCACAATTGCTCCTGTGTGTTATAGACCTGATTTAAGAGATCAGCCTTACATAATGTCATGTGGAAAATTAATCCATACTTAATACAATCAATTTCAGATGGGCGCAAAGAGGAAGTTCACTTTGACAAAATTACATCCAGGATTGTGAAACTATGCTATGGTCTGGATATGGATTATCTTGACCCAGTAAGTAGGAATCTATGATCACCATCATCATCATTATTATTACTGGAGGGGGTGAGTTTCCCCATGCACCGCGACCAGTTTGATCTATTGTACGTCCCCCTGTGATATTCTACCAGTCTCTATACCCTACCGGTACTGGTGCGTGCCATCAGTCCCGACTCAGCCAGCAAGTTCGGCCTCTATGGGCTCAGCGGTATCTAGATGCTTCCCCCATCTACCAGAGGTGTTAGAGACTATTGTTGGGCGGGAAATGTCCTTACAAATTTGGCTCAGAGGTCTCCTTGAGACATGAGGTTCTTTTACGTGCCATAAAGCTACGACACGGGACCCACGGCTTAAAGTCCCTCCCGGAGGACTTGTTCCCTGAATTTTTCTGCCCTTAAAAATTCCACGACCTCCGCCGGTTTTGAACCCACGTACCTTGAGTCATGAGGTGGGAACGTTACCCCTAGACTACGGAGGCCGCTACCACTATCATCATTCTTTCCAGTATGTTAAAATATTGCAAAATGAAATTCTGCCATTATTTCAGAGGCCTTCCAGACTTCTTTCTATCTTCTGTTTTATCATCATGTTTTGGATCAAGTCCTTCTTATAAATATGTTCTTTACAATTTCTTTGGTATCGTTTTATAAATTCTTTGGATACATACATATTAATGGGTGACCTAGATAACTTCCAAACATTACCACCATGTTGTCATCATGTAAGCGCCACAAACAATAGTAATTTATTTGTAAAAACTCAAAGCCAAACCATAGAAGATTTTTAGTAGGTTAGTCTCCTACTATTACAAAAGAACTTCTAAGGTTTGCATCGCTTACGTATTAGGCATGGTGATAATTTTTAGTGTCACTTTGGTCACACATTAACATGTAAGTGCCATTATGCTCTTTTTTGTAATGTATAGTCAACCACAATTTTTCCGTTTCCTTTATGTTCTGAAACACTATATTGTGCAGAGTTCTGTCTTCTGTGATCTATCACTGTAGTCTGTTGAAAGGCAGCAGACTTCTCTGAAGAACACATTGCCTCTATCCTCAAAGTTGAAGAATAAGCTGCTTGCTGCTGCTTCATGTTGATTGCTTACTTTTTTTTAATTGCTAGTGGGGTGGGACTAAGTCCCTTGTACTGCGGCCACTTCTGGCCTATTGTACCAGCCCCCAGATAATAGGTGAGGGTGAGTGTGGAGCAATTGGTGGAATGAAGATTGGCAGGGGAAACCGAAGTACTCTGAGAAAGCCTGCCACAGCGCCACTTTGTCCACCACAAATCCCACTTGACCAGACCCGGGATTGAACCCGGGCCGCCACGGTGGAAAGCCAGTGACTAACCGCTTGAGCTATGGCGTGGCCTGGTTTCTTACTTGGTTTATTCCTTTACCCCAGAGACGGAGATGACATGTTTCTCTGTAAAGTTAGTTTACTTTCAGTGGATTACACACTGTTACATTCCAGAAAGTAGAACCCTTCATAACCACTGCTGTGAGAACCTGCATATTATGCAGCTGTCATGAAATGCATTTCTGCTAATATCTGTAGGATTGATTAAAGCACATGCACGTAAAAGGCTAATATGGAATTATCGGCATGGACTTTGCAAAACAGTTGTTTCTATCTGTAGCCCGTGATCACAATGAAAGTGGTCAATGGTTTGTACGCTGGCGTAACAACAGTGGAACTGGATAATCTGGCTGCCGAGACTGCTGCGACGATGACAACCAAGCATCCAGATTATGCCATTCTTGCAGCAAGGATTGCCATCTCCAATCTCCACAAGGAAACCAAAAAGACTTTTAGCGGTAAGTGAGGAAGAGAGGTTATGAGGGAAAAGGATATTGAAATTAAAGCACTAGGTAGAATTTGCAGAATCGGTTAATCCACTGCCCCTCGTCTGGATTCTTTCTCTTCATTTCAAAGTGTGCCCATATCACCCTGTTCTTTTATTACAGTAATGTATCTTCCATTTTATTTATCTTCATATTCTCCCTAATTTTCTTACTTCTTGTTTTCTCTCTCTCGGTTCTTTCTTATACACTACTTAAAAATCTCATCCTGGTTCCAGTCCTTCACTTCATTTAAGGTAAAAAAGTAAAATTGTCCCTGTGCCCAAATGATGAAGCATCATGCCATGAAGGTGTATGAGGGAGTGCAAGTATAGCTCCACCATTCTTGACCCTGGCACCTCTGCCACTTCCAGGGAAAATTCCCAGGTACCCTTTGTATAGGAGGCTAGGTGGCCCTAGATCTGGTCTGGACACTGGAGTAGTGAAGGTTTCATGCACCATCCAGGTATCAAACCCTGGCTGTCCAACTTATAGCCTGTTGCTATACTGACAGCTATTTCGGCTGTTAATCACTTCTTATATGAAGAATGACCCACATGTGAGAATTTTGTCATCTTGCTGAATAGGAAAATATTTGAAGAGTTCACTCAAGTTTTCTTCATTACAAACTATTCACCAATGCAAGTTCTTTTGTATCAGTTGATTGCATGTTGATCATTTTATCTGATTGTGTTTGCAGAGGTGATGGATGACTTACACAAAATGATACATCCAGAAACAAAAATGCCATCACCAATGATCTCTGATTACCATCATGCCATCATCATGAGTAATGCAGATCGGCTGAACTCTGCCATTATATATGACCGAGACTTCAGTTACAACTATTTTGGTTTTAAGGTAATTTTGTGAAATGCTCTATGGCACTTGAGCATGTTTGGAACATAATATTACAATTCTTTTCTAAATAAGCAGGAAGAGATACAGTTCAAGAATCAAATTATTATTTGACAATGCTGATCTGAATTATTACATTTTTAATTTGGATGTTTCTGATGGTATGCAGATGATTAAAACCAGTTTAACTCTTTGGCGTACTATTGAGGCAACTCAAGATGCCTGTATGAATATTAATTAGCATATTTATATGTAATTATCACAGTTCTTACAAAATGTCCGAACAGATTTTCTAATTAAATTATCAAGTAAGTGCACACCACTTTACTTTTTATCTGTTGATGCTCTATGTCTCCATATATTAATCCAAATGCATGGACATCTTGCAGCCTTCAAACTATATCTGTTTGTCAATTCAGGGGTCTCCAGCTAGTAGCACGTGGGCAGCATGTGGTCATTCAATTGATTTTGTGCTACCCACAAGAGTATCACTTGAGTTCTGAAAATGTGTGTTAATGCTTTCCAAATTTTTACAAAAGAATACAAAAACTTTATGAAAAGTGCTTAGCAAATATTTATTGTAATTGTTTTACCGATTTTGTGTGACACCTGATAAGTAGTAGCCATGATTGCATGGCCCAGGCAGCTCATTATGTAACTAAGGTTTTCAGAGTTCATCTTCCTTATCTTTGGATATCTGCTATCATAACTGTAGAATCATATGAACAGTACTAGCACATTGTTCTGGATCACTTGTGCTCAATCCTTCACAGACACTGGAACGCTCTTATCTGCTTCGAATCAATGGAAAAGTGGTTGAAAGACCCCAGCACATGTTGATGCGAGTAGCTGTGGGTATCCACGGCGAAGATGTGGATTCAGCGATTGAGACATACAACCTGATGTCAGAACGCATATTCACGCATGCTTCACCCACACTTTTCAGCTCTGCTACTCCACGACCCCAGCTGTCAAGGTATGTTTAGGTTGTCTGATTATTTTTACTTTGCATTCACTGTATGGAGTGCATATTTATCGCAATTTTTCAGAGTAAACATTTCACTCATTAATAATTTATATGATATGTTTATGTGAAACCTGTTCTGGACCATGCTAGTGAATACAGCCAATCACAGGTGAGAGAAGTAAATGAGAGCTTGTTGGTCCTGTTTCGGCAGATTCTCAAACTAGAATGATGGCATTTAACCATGTATACTATTTCTGTTTGATTTAACTTTCATGGCTTGTGGCATGGTATGCACAGAACCATGTTATCGCCTCTGCTGACTGTATTCAAGTGGGGTGTTGTGAACAGGTTTAATTCAAACTACTGCCATGGTTTTGACTGCGTATGGGGGAAAAATGAAAAATATGCTGCATGTAGAGGTCTATGTTTGTATAATTTCTTTTTTACTTTAAAATGTACTGGACTTTTGTTACAGCTGCTTTTTACTGGCAATGATGGATGACAGCATTGAAGGAATTTATGATACATTGAAGCAATGTGCATTAGTGTCAAAATCTGCTGGTGGAATTGGCCTCCACATTCATAACATCCGTGCCAGAGGAACTTACATAGCTGGGACCAACGGTTGTTCTAATGGTATTGTGCCTATGTTGAGGGTGTACAACAACACGGCAAGATATGTGGACCAGGGTGGCAACAAGGTGTATAACATTACAGTTAATTATGATATATGACACTTTCATGACAGTTGCAAGTTGTAACATTTTCTTGGGTCATCAGCTGTGCCAACTCTAGCAGAAGTCCCACCTGTTTTTTTTTTGTTTTGTTTTTTTTTTTTTTTTTTTTTTTTTTTTTTTTTTGTTTTTTTTGTTTTTTTCCTTCATCACCAGGGAATGGTCTGAAATGTTTTACTTCTGCTGTATATTGATATAGTCATTCATCCAAAAACATTTTAATAATACAGTAAACCCTCATTTTAATGGACAGAAAAGGGTGCAGGGTGTCTTATTGCTGATGTCTGCTATAACAGAGTGAAGGGGCATTCATGGAAATACATCACAAGATACAGCCAATACAGGCAATAAACATAGAAACAGACTACAAAACCTTAGTGTCTCAAGATCTCCAAAAATTCACAACCATACACAACCAGATTTTGTCCATTATATTCAGGTGCTTTATAGTGGGGTTTCACTGTAGTTTCATATGTTTTTCTCTCTCAAATTTTGAAGTACTTGAAGATAAAACCTCTGTCTTGCCAGTTTATATGATAAAAGATACCTTAATGTGTATAACCACACACAGGTCAAGAAATGCAGTCACCAGTATTAGGCTTAGATATTTTGGCTGCAAACTAGTTTTTCGTATGGGGTTGATTTATTTTTAATGAGTCATAACAGCCTCACTTCATTTTTGGTGCAGGAAATGACAAATCACATGTAAAGTTAAGATCAACATCTGTAATAAGTCATAACAATTCTCACTTTTAAATTCAAAATTTTTGCCAGTATCATGCCTTGACTGTGTATGTTTAAAACAGACAGTGCAGCTGGAAGAAATAAAGAGCCAGAGAAAGGTAACAGAATATCAGCCCAATTTTTTGACAACCAAAATATTTGCATAGCAACTATTCTTAACCAGTATATTGTTAAACTGGGGCACACAGTAGTGTAGTTGGTTGAGGCGCTATGCTACAAGCTGGAAATTCATTAGTTCAATACCTTCCAGCTGCACTAAGGCCCTGGGATCAACTCAGCTCTAACGGAAATGAGTACCAGGAGTCTTCCTGGGAGTAAAGGGCACCTGCCCAGCCGGCTGGCACGAAAGGCTGACAATCTCACTGCCATCTGTGTTATTGTCTAGAAAATGTAGGAGCCTCGACATCTCACAACACTTTGCCTCCACATCCAGTTACATGGATAGCTTTACTTTCTTTTTTTGTATCTTTAACTGGAATGTGTGCTGGAGTGTGTCTTCAGGGTATCCTGAAGATGGAGGCATCAGGTTCCTCTGAAACATTGATAAATCTGTACAAGGCGACTTTATATCACAGAAGGCAGTAATCTTCATATTCACTGCCATGCGAATGCCATGTCTCACATAGAATATGTTTCTTTTTTCATTTTCAGCGTCCAGGAGCATTTGCAATTTATCTGGAACCTTGGCACGCAGATGTATTTGAATTTCTTGACCTGAAAAAGAATACAGGGAAGGAGGAGGTTCGAGCTCGTGATCTGTTCTATGCATTGTGGATCCCTGATTTGTTCATGAAGCGAGTGAAGAGTAACGAGATGTGGAGTCTCATGTGCCCCCATTCGTGCCCCGGCCTGTCAGATTGTTGGGGTGACAAGTTTGATAACTTGTACACGAAGTAAGGGACCTTGCATTTGCTCAGACCACAGTAAAAAGTACTGCCTACTGTTTTTCCATTTGAGACCCTCACTGGCCTATGTTAGCTAGCCCATTGTAGGTTATTACTACCAACATTGTGTAAACAGAAAGGCCCAGTGACTGAAGAAGGTTATAGGGACATAAATTGGAAGGGGGCATAATGCTTGGCAAAAGTGTTGAGGAGGGCCATGTGTGGTTTTTCCTTTTGAGGTTCAATATAGAATAACACAGTGGGATGTTAATTATCTGGTTACTTGTGGTAACAGATACCCAATTTGGTTACTATCTTTTTTTACATTGGTTTTGGATTCATTTATTGCATGTTGCAGTTATAATAAATTGTTCACACACAGGAACTTGAAATTATAATATTTTATTGGCAGAATTACAGTAGCATGTGTATTTATACCATACATTTAAAATACAGTATATAATTTCATAATTTTGCACTTTCTTACATCATAATAAGCATGTTTGAAAGCCTAAAATTCTATTAAGGTTGAATTTAATTTCTTTGGAACAAGCGTGTCAGCTACCCAGTTTGATAGTAGAATCTCAGGTAATTGAAGTCTCGATCTGTTTAAATGGGAAGCTAAGTATACTGTTAAAAGTTTGTTCCTGTGCTTAATTAATTAAGCACCATGCCATGAAGAGGGACATGCAGTAACATAGTTTGAGGCACTAAGCTACAAGCCGAAAGGTCATGGTTTCGATTTCCAATGAGGTCATTGGACTTTTTTTTTTTTCCTTTAGTTGATCTAATCCTTCCAGCTGCACTAAGGCCCTGGTGTAGGCCGTGCCATAGCTCAAGTAGTTAGTTGCTGACTTTCCACTGGGTCTGGTCAAGTGGGATTTTTGGTGGACAAAGTGGCACAGGGGTAGGTTTTGTTCAAGTACTTCGGTTTCCCCTGCCAATCTTCATTCCACCAGATTTTCCATCATCATGATCACCCAGGGCAGGTACAATAGGCCAATCAGTGGCCTCTGTGCCGAGTGGATCCAGCTGGACTCCAAGACCCTGGGGTTGACCCAGTGTAAGGCTGACCTCACCGCAATCTATGAGGCAGTTGTCTAGAAAATATGGAAGCCTTGACGTCTCACAACCCTATGGGCCTACACAGCCTGTTACAGGAATAGTTTTACCTTTTACCATGCTATGAATATGGGGAAGTGAAAGTATTGCTCCACACATTCATAACCTTGGCACTAGTTGGACGTGAGTGGACAGCTTCATGGCCTGGATGCTTTTTCTAATATCAAAATCCTAATAATATGCAATAAAGTCCCTCTTCAGTTAAGTCCTTTACTCATAGTAAAGTCTGCTTGCCAACCCTTTACCTTCATTTGGTAAGGCTGTGTAATATTTACCTCTACTAGAAGGACAAGCGAACATTGCCTGTGAATCTACGAGTCAGGAAACATTTCTATCCTTTCCATTTCCTCGTAGTTGGACAGTAATCCTGGTCTGGAATTGTAAGGTCCTCAGTACCTGCACTCCCCCCTTGCCCTGGCCAAAGATTCTGAGTAAACTGTCATGTAATCCTGTCATCACTGTCTATGCAATGTAATTTTTTTGGAACTTTGCAATATTGCAGTTGCCAATTAGCATAGTAAAGCATGAGAGATATGTTAATACAGAATTAATTTTTTTTCTTGTATGCTTTGTTCACTCTTCTGCCTTGAAGATTTAGGCAGCCGTTTCTCCGAAACATTGGTAACAGTCTACGAGACTATGCAGCATCTTTCTTATTGTATTTCTCATTGTTACTAGGTATGAGTCTGAAGGTCGCTATGTAAGACAGGTGAAAGCACAGAAACTTTGGTATGCCATCTGTGAGTCTCAGGTAGAAACTGGCACGCCATATATGCTGTATAAGGATGCATGCAATCGCAAATCAAACCAACAGAACCTTGGTACCATCAAATGTAGCAATCTGTGTACTGAGATTGTGGAATTCACATCACCCTCAGAGGTAAGCAGAAAACTGAACAGTCATACTCGAAAAGAAACAAAGATATCAGGGGACTTAGCATATAATAAAGGGGTTCCTGTATTGATCTAATCACCATGTCATAAAGACATGAAGAAGTGTAGGTATAGGTCTGTCCATTCTTAACCTTGGTTCTAGATGGAGGTAAGTGGTCAGCTTCACACCTTGGCTACTTAACCCCTGGGGGAAGGTCTCCCCGCACTAATTGAACAGGATGCTGGGTGGACCATGCAGTCTGGACACTGGGGAACAGAAAAAAAACTTCACTGCTAGGAATTGAACACAGATTGCTCAGTTGTCTAACCCATAACCAAGTCATCATACTGAGAACAACTTTGGCATGTGGCCAAAGTGGCCTGGCATGTGAATGTACAAATGGAAGAGAGTTGTGAAAGCTATGCTGTCATGTGGGATGAGTAGCATTTCCAGCCTCATCATGAGGGCCGCACCCAAAATTTTTGGTTGCATCATTTATTAGAAAAAGTGTACAAAGTATTCGAGAAATTATGCCTTGGTACTTTAGCCCTTGGCCACCTTGTGAACAGTGCTTCATTTTTGCTTTGAGTGACAGGTCCTTATACTGATGTTACTGCCCTGCAGTAACCTGTTTTGATGACACGGATGTATCTTGTATACAATTCATTTTGTAACAGTGTGTAACATATTTCAGGTGGCAGTGTGCAACCTGGCATCTATTGCTGTGAACATGTTTGTACGGACAGACAAATCGTATGACTTCGTCAGACTGAAAGAGGTTTCAAAAATTGTGACCAGAAATTTGAACAAGATAATTGATGTCAACTACTATCCTATACCAGAGGTAGAATGAATGATATAGAATGTATGTACATTAAACTGTCAGTTATCTGGCATGTACCGGGAATGGTATATGCCTAGTATGTGAATCTGCCGGTTGCACAAGAACTCTTACAGAAACCAAAGCAGAAGTCAAAGCATTGCATTCTCACTTTGGTACTTGTATGAGAGTTTTCCTAGATATAGTGACAACCTTACAGTGACAGTGCAAGTATCATTGCTTGAATGTGGGCAGTTCCCACACACTGTAACATGAACAGAAATTCAACTAACCTTTACTGCAATGAAATATTTGAGGGAGGACAGTGGGCAGAAATGGTGATAGTGGCTAGGGGATCTACTGTCTGGTGGCAGTAAGCATCATAGCTCTGTTTTTGAAATAACCTTATAAAAATGGTCAGTTTTCTTTAAATTTTTGTGGTTACATGATAATTTGAGATGTGTGGATGTCAGATAACCAGCAGTTTACTGTAATTATCTTCACATATGAGAAAAATTCTTTGAAAATGTGATATGAAGGTTATAGATCTGCTGCATTTGCAAGTCAAGCAGTAATCACACCTTGTCTGCTCTGAGAATAGTTCTAGCATCTAACTTCATGTAGCAGTCCTTAACAAGCTAAAAGTCACTCAGCTAGTTTTGAAATTCCCCACCTTTTGAGAGACCAAATTTTCACAAGAGCCAACTGATTACCCCTTCCTGAGTTGAATGAATCTGATTATTTCTCTAAGGACATTAACTAATTGGTCTTTGTAATGTAAACTTACAACTTTTCTGTGATGTAGGAGCTGAATTTTTAAATTTGTACACAAATTTTAGGTTATAGTAGATTAATGTTTCTCAGTTTAAGTTCTTTGGTTATTTAGTGCTCATTTTCTCTGCTTCTAATATTATTAAAACTTTTCCTCCATGTAAGTTTCTTTCCAGTTGGATGTTCAAAGCCATTGTCTCCATAAATGGGTCATGTATTTTAAATTTGTTTGAAAACGGAACCCTTTTTATAGGCACAGACATCCAATCTCCGTCACCGCCCAATTGGCATTGGCATACAAGGTTTGGCTGATGCATTCATCTGCATGAGGTTCCCATTTGAGAGTGAAGAGGCGCAGAAGCTCAACCAACAAATATTCGAGACAATTTACTATGGAGCTTTGGAGGCGAGCTGTGAGCTTGCTAAGGAACAAGGTCCATATGAAACCTATGAAGGCTGCCCAGTCAGCAAAGGGGTGTGTTTACTTTTTGTATTCAATAAATCAGAGTGGAAGTACATATTTTATATCTAGTACAGAAGCACAAACTATTTTATGATGGCCAGTGAATTGTTATGTATAAATGCCAAAACTTAGCTCAACATTTGCTAATGTACTGTACAGGATATTATGAGGCATCTCAGATTTTTCAGTAAAGAGTTTGATAACCAGCCATTCTTAGCTAAGAATATCAATTTATAAGCAAATTTGTGTAGTTAGATGACTAAAGACTGTAGTTGGAAGGGAATATTTTGTGTACTTCCATTTACAGTATTTACTCTGTGTAATGTATTGCATAAACATAACCTCACTTCAGAGCACTTAGAAAATGTAACGTCCCAACTCTGGCCATCGAAGAGTCGGAGCAGAGATGAAGCTCTAAACTTAAAGCCTGAAGATGTGATATGTACTGCCTCATCAAGGCTAATACACATTTCAGGGGGCAGTGATCAGTGTGGAGCAATGATGGAATGATGACTAGGCAGATAAAATCAATGAGAAAAATCTGCAATTTTATCTTTCTTTCGTTGTCGTCATCGTTTCCACTGTCAGACCTGTTTGTCCTGTTTCAGGCTTTACTCAGTTGAATTCTTTAAATTTTTAGAGGACTTTATATGGTGGGAGTTATTTTATGGCAGTGTTAGTATATGGTCTGTGTAACATTGAATGATGAATTGGAAGGAAGTTGTTTTCTAATCAGTCCTGGCATTGGGGGGACTGAAGGGAATGGTGTAAATCCTCATTCCTGACAAATTCAGACCAAGCATATTCCAGACAGAAGTCTAGAATTTTACTGTCAGATCAATCTGTGTGGTGTCTGAATTGATATTTTAAATATATGTATTGGGCTGGAGGATCCTATCAGTATTGTTACTGGTGTAAATTTATTACAGATATTTCAGTATGACATGTGGAATGTTGAACCTACATCTTTATGGGACTGGGCAGACCTGAAACATCGCGTTGCAGAACACGGCGTCCGCAACTCACTTCTGCTTGCACCGATGCCGACTGCTTCCACAGCTCAGATCCTTGGAAACAATGAATCATTTGAACCATATACAACAAACATCTACACACGACGTGTGTTGTCTGGAGAATTTCAGGTCAGAATAGAGATTGGTAGGTTTTGGGAATGCCTGCTACCATCCAGTTTAAATTCTTTTGTCTTCCCATCTCAAATCTAAAAATGTAAAAACTAATTTTGTCTGTTGTTTTATATGTATGTGAAACTTGGTCTCCTACATGAAGGGAAGAAGGCTGGAGGAAATGGCATAGTCATAAGCTTCTTTATTTGTACTCCTAGCCAACTCAAGGAGCGTGAGATGGGTGGCGTGTAGCGTGCTTTGCAGAGACGTGGAGCATATGTAGAGTTCTGATAGAGAAACCTGAAAGGAAGAGGTCAATTGGAAGATCTGTGGGTAGATGGAAGGGCAGTATTAAAATGGAAGTTAAGGAAACAGGATTGGGTGGGAGGTGTGGTCTGGAATCATTTTGCTTAGGACAAAATATTGGCAGGCCCTTGTGAACAATAATGAATTTTCAGGTTCCATAAACTGCTGGAAATTTCTTAACCAGGTTAGCAGATTTTAGCTTCTGAACGATTCTGCTTCATGGAGTTAGTTAGGGAGTGTAGAGTATTACAGACGATAGACAGCGCACATAATTGAAAAATGATGTAAAAATAGTTATTGTCTCTCTAAAACAGTGGTTCTCAACCTTTGTCAGACTGCGACCTGGTAAATTCTCTTTTCTACAAGATGAGGACCCGGTATAATTGATGCCAGGGCCCGGTACCAGGTCATGTCCTAACGGTTGAGAAACACTGCTCTAAAACATGTCTGAGTTTATGTTACCATCAGAGAATTACAGATCATATCACATCATCGTTAGAGAGATACTAGATACTATTTTCAGCACACACTGGGAATGAAAATTGGCATATGGGAGATTTCATTGAACACCCAGGACTTCTCTACAGTAAGTTTGGCTACTCAGTGTTTTGACATACACTGAGAGATGTTTTAGACAGACAGTACATGGGGAATTTCAGAAGAATCCTATATGGAGTCCAGTATGTAATGTTTTGTGAAAGTGAACGCCTTTTAAGCCGTCTTCATTAGCCAAACTGGCAGATAACTTTATGAAAATTTATCAAAAGAAATTAATTTTAATCTTTGTGCATGTTGCATTAGATAGGTCCATATTTTCTTGACCTCGGCAGTAGTTGGAGATGTGCGGTCAGCTTCACACCCCTGCCACTTTACCCCCGGTACCCATTGGATAGAAGGCTGGGTGGCCCCAGAGCCGGTCTGGACTACATGGAGAAAATTCTTGACCCTACAGGGACTCAAACTCAACTCAGTCATCCAGCCTGTAGCCAATCACTATACCAACGGAACTATTCCCCTATACGCCTTCATGGCATAGTGCTTAATTAGTTAAACACAGGGACAACTTGACCTTTACCTTGTTGCATTGTATCACACGTTTGCTGTAATCCACTGAAGTGCATTGTGGGTTGTCTATGTTCTCAGGTTGTGAATCATCATTTGCTCCGGGACTTGACAAAACTTGGGCTGTGGAGTGAGGACATGAAAAACGAGATAATTGCAAGAGGAGGCTCTGTCCAGGTATCAAGGAATAATGTGAAGCCTTACAAAGTAGTCATTTTAATAGGGTGCAATAGATGCCATCATTACCGCTGATATACTACATATTGATTGTTATGGTCAAGTGGTTTGCTGTCCTGCTTTGCATTTAGGAGGTCCTGGGTTCAGATTTTGGCCTAGAGATTGAATATATTGACTTCCTCAGTCCAACCAGGCAACTACTAGGCTAATAGACCATCACCATTTTGTTCATATCCTACCATGTTACGCTATACATAGTGGAACTCTCAGTTTAAGGTTTCTCTGGACACAACTAAACTGAGTAAAATTTGTATGGGTGAGGTATAATACTTTATGGATTTGGGATAATTGAAATTGAAAATTAAATGAGGAAATACCATAAATCAGGAAAACTTTAAATTGAAGTTCTCTTGCAGTGAGCCAGTAACATCATTAAATTAACCAGAAAGAATTTGAAACATTATGGAATTAATTCGGCTTCGTGATCACATGCACTAGTGATGCCATCTAGCAAACTCTGAGAAGCTGATTTTTAAGCCCCATTCATCTGATAGCACTGTGTGAGGTGTGCTCACCATTGTTGCCTTGCCGACTGCTCACATTAAAAGCAATGTACTAGTTTACTGGATAAAATGTATTTTTTATATGTATAATGGGATCCATGGATAGGTCCTTGTGGTGCACTGAGGCCTCTCAGTGGTTTGAAGTTGAACAGTCCTGTATCACATGATCACGGATTCATATAAACTTTTTATGTTCTTGTCTGATTCCATTGTATCTGGCATTGTGTTTGCATAATACATGTACTTACCTCAATAGATCACTGAAGATTGCAGTGCTAGGGCCAGTTTTATGGCCCACCCCTCATACTCTTATCTTGTGTCCAGGGCATTGATGGAATTCCAGACGATGTTAAGGATCTCTACAAGACTGTATGGGAAATCCCACAGAAAACAATTATCAAGATGTCAGCTGACAGAGGCGCTTTTATCGACCAGAGCCAGTCCCTAAATATTCATATCGCTGAACCAAACTATGGAAAGTTGACATCCATGCACTTCTATGCCTGGAGCTTGGTAATTTATATAACAGTTCTCTGTAAACATAGCAAACTGTGGCTTTGTACACAGATGGAGTTTATAGCAGTTCTTTTTGTCTTCCTTTGACATTACTGTCATCCAGTTTGCAGGATTTTCCATTATAGGTAAAAGATAAATTTACTTGTGTGTGTAATTAATTAAGCATCACCATGAAGATGATTGGGGGAGTGGAGATATAGCTCCATGAACTTCCATTAGATGAAGGTGAGTGGTCAGTTTCACACCCTTACTGCTTTACCCCTGAGGAAATGTGGATTTTTGCTGTACTTTAGTTATTCTGAATCAGTATTTTTACAAATTAGGCATGTATATTTGGCTTGAACTACAGTTAACTGTTGCGAATTCACTGAATTTATATTGTGTCTTTCAGGGCCTCAAGACTGGCATGTACTATCTCAGGACGAAGCCGGCGGCAACTGCGAATCAAGTCACTGTTGACAAAACAAAGCTTAGCTGTAGCAGTAAGAGTGGTACTGTGAGTAATGGAGTTGCGACTGGGGAAGGAGAGGCAGAACAGGATGCCTTCAATCTGAATTCAATGGTCTGCTCACTTCAGAATAAAGATGAGTGCCTTATGTGTGGTTCCTAGGCCTCAAATAATTTCATACATCGGTGACACTGAGTTACATGGATATGCAAACAAGCAGTGACTTCTTCTGGATTACATGTATTACATCCTGCAGGGTGGTAGTCTTCAAAGGAATTTATGTAGGAAATTTGTTGAAGTCAGAAATGCAGAGTTACTGAAAGGGCTAGAAACGCTGCCACGTTTTGGATTAATTGTTGAAATTACGCAGAGGTGCACAGTTGTGGTCTATTTGAGAATTCAGGATGTTGTATATTCACATGTTTCGGGCAGGGGCATGGTACAGGTATTGTATGCAGCACCTGACATTTTGAGGCAAAGTCTGAAATTTAGCTATTTTTGTACTTTGCTTTGTATTCCATTTGCGTTAAATGGAACGAAAGCTAAAAGTAGTGAACCACACGTGACTTAACATTATTTTTATTCATAAAGATTACTGAAAACTACGAGAGTAGGAGAAATCCTTTGGAATGTGAGATGCCTACGGGGATAAAGTCAGCCCTGCTGGAGCTCTTTGTTGAAAATTCCCATTTTCTCTTATCACATTTTTAAATTGTTGAATTTTGAACTCTCTTGGTTGACCATTTGTTAACATTTATGAATAATATCCGAAACTCCCTTCCCACCCCCAATTATATGAATAGATTCATGATTACAGACATCTATAAGAGACTACTGATGTGTGACACATTAACCTCTGATGACAGGAGACTTCTGTCTCCAAATCATTGGGTAGTAATCCCAGAAGGCTGATGACATGTAAGAAGACTGTGCTGTGGGATCATTACTGGTTTATTGAAATATCGCAGCACATTAAAGACTAAATATTTGGCTTGTTTGCTGTCTTTCCATTTTCAAAAATTTAAATAAAATGTAATTAGGATAAATGTGATTGTATGATGTGATTTATTATTGATTAATACTGGTATGTTTGTGTAACAAATGAATGCATTAAAGAAAAAGATGGGTGTCAGTAGAAGAAAACTAAATATTTGGCTTATTTATGCAAGATTGACAATTGTTTACTGTCTTTCCTTTTTGAAATTTAAATAAAATGTAATTAGGATACATATGATTGTATGATGTGCTTTTGTACTGATGAATACTGGTATGTTTGTGTAACTAATGAAGAATGAATGAAAGAAAGAAATGGAAATCACTAGAAGGACTTCCTTCTTTCATGAGACAATCCACATAGATTAAGAAGAAAGAAATTATTTTTGGAATGTCTTTAAGGTTCATGTTGGAATTTTGAAACTCAGTTTTATTCCTTCAGGTGCAGTTTAAAACATACTTCTGTATGAAAAAGTGGAACATAAATGTTTCTGTCCTGGTGCCTCAAATTTTGTCTTGCCCCATTTCATCGTGAAGTGAAACAAAAGTAGAGAGACGTTTCATTTTATGTTCACAGTATATTGCTCTCATTTTATGTTCACAGTATATTGCTCATCACACACTGCCTTCATCNACCTCAAATTTTGTCTTGCACCGTTTCATCGTGAAGTGAAACAAAAGTAGAGAGACATTTCATTTTATGTTCACAGTATATTGCTCATCACACACTGCCTTCATCTTTATAGTAAGAACTAGGGCATTCACTCTCGTTCATGGATCTGGAAATGTTCTCGAAGATTGCACTTTCGTTTGAAACACTTACCACACACACGGCATTCATGGGGTAGAATTCCAGTATGTAAAAGATGGAAATGTTTCTTGAGACCACCTGGTTCTGTAAATGACCTACCACATTCATTGCACATGTGAGGACGCTCTCCAGTGTGTATCATAACATGTTTCTTCAAGTTACACAACTGTGTAAAAGATTTGCCGCAGAACTTACAGATATGTGGTCGCTCCCCCGTGTGAGTTAAAATATGAGTTTTGAGATTGCAAAGTAATGTAAAAGATCTGTTACACACATTACACACATGTGGTCGTTCTCCCGTGTGACTAAGAGAATGACGTTTGAGCTTGCCTTTCTCTGTAAATGATTTATTACATACTTTACAAATGTAAGGGCGTTCTCCCGTGTGAACCAGGAAATGCCGTTGAAGTTTACTTAGTTTTGAATATGTTTTCTTACACACTTCACACTCATGACTACGCACCTCTTCCTTCTTCACAATTCCATGTTCTATTGTAATGCCATCGTCCACTTTTATTGGTGTAATATATCCATTATAATCCTCTACATTTTCCATTGCACCATCTTCATCAAACATTCTCTTTTCTGTATCATCACTGTTTTCAACACATTCAGCACACTCTTCTTTGATAATTCCCTTCCCATATTCTTCTTTAATTTCTATGAAATTTAAACTCCATGGATAGTCAGCATCTTCTGAGGCAGCCTGGTCTCCTTCTCTTGATTCTTGTTTGATTAATCCAACATCCATTATGCCAGGCAATTTCCGGTATTATGAGGTTTACCTATAATTTTCAGCATTAATTCCCAAACAGATCTCTCACTTTTGTTTCCACCTGTACTGCTCCCATGGACATTTAACTGACCTGTTGAAAAACATGTATAGCATTAATTATTACAAGCTACTAAAATTACTGAGATATATTGCCACTAATAAGGCATATGACAAAGTCATACTGATTAAGAGCAAAGTTAGAAACGCTTTTTAAACATTTTCATTAAAACACCTTGATAGTTTCAACAGAATTAATTTGGTGGATCCCCTTACAATGTCTTCTCTCATACTATTCAATTTCAGTAACTAAGTCAATAATCTAAATTGTCTCCATTTAAGATTGTTCGTAGTTTAGTAGTCAAATCCACTGTTCCCCAAAGAAACTTCACATTATAGTTTCACTGTAATTTAATAAACATGAAATATTTGGGGAAAATGACATTTAGGTGCAATGGGATGAGTATGCTGTTATATCAGGATTGTACATATTAAACCAAAAACAGTCATGTTAATTTTTCTTTAACCACCAAATAAAATCTTACTAGAATTAAAAAAAAACTACACAATAAGTAGGAGTAGAGAAAAGTTTGTGGCATGGGAGGCAGTTACATATTCAGCATGACAATGCAACCCAAAACCCAAGAGTTAAAATCACAATTTTATAAAAGTGACTCCAAGAATCACAGTCTTAAACTTTTGCCTTGGTGTGTTGTAAAAAGAGTAAGCAGTAGCTACTACAGTTCTTTGATTGTGGTGTCATTATCAAGGAATTTTTCAGATATAACCTAGCTTCTACTATTGATTGCTTTGCTACATTTTACCTTATGCCAGTGACCACGATGAAATGCCATTATTATTACTGATGGGTTATCATCAATCATGAAATTTCAGTGAATGCCCTGCACACTGGTTGGCATAGAAGTCTGCTATAAATCTATATACTTGGATGTAACTTCTATAACTATAACGTAGGCACGTGCTTATGTACAAGTGGATGACATATTTATTACAGATGAGACACCCCTGTTTAATCAATGCACGGCGGGTGGCGGCTACCAGTTGCGAGAGAAGTCTGTAGCCCAGTCAGGAGTTGAACATATCGTTTCCCAACTTTCAAAGTATTGTTGCAGATATATGAAATGTTCACCTTTCATTATTTCTATTGCGCTATACACAGTAATCAAATACGAAGTCTTTACGTAATGCATTTTCGATAATATAGGGCTAAACTTTGGAAACGAAATAACATGTCCAGTACTTCAGTCATTACAAAATTGCCATGACTGGCTTTAGTCATATAACTTAAGGCTGTCCGGCAATTATATTTATATTCTAGTTCAAAACATTTCCTCTGATAGTTTCCAATTTACATGTTTATTACCTCGAATTTAGGTTAGGTGTCTTGCGACATAATACTTTCGTCTCTTTAAGGTATTTTGGATACAGATTTCCTTCAATTATTTTTGACAAATATGCATAATATTAGACGTACATGTAGTTTATAACCTATAGCAGGCTGTTTACAGAATAAACTTTGTAAACGCCTCACTGGGTCACTATTTCGTAAACAAACCGCCATTTATCGCAATTACTCATCTGTGATGTTTAGTTACAGTCCGTGGGAAGCGCTTAACTGGACGACCAATAGAAAGAATTGCCGGTTCGCATCTGGGTTCACGAGTCAAAGTATAAGTTCGGTGTGTAACATGAAGATAGAAATTGTTCTCTAGTCTTGTTGATTGGAGAAAGAAACATAAAAATGTATATGTGGAAATATAAAGACTAATTCTTAAGTTTTGTGATACTTGCAACAAAATATAAACATTCAATTTATTGGAGCGAACGAACATCGGAAACCGGAAGTAACAATCCAGTGAAGTGATTTCGCGGCCGGTGAAAATTATTGTGGCTTCAGAGTCGACGTAAGTTTTACTTTAATAGTTTTATTTTAACACTAGAGCTGCCTCAGAAAACTTCTACCCGGTTAGCATTTATTATATATAAACAATTTTCATTCTTTCGCAACTGTAAAGAATACACCGCAATGTACAGTAGGCCTTACTAGTGACAGGCACGAGAGAAAATAGAAAATTTAAGTCGGAAAACCTGGAAGGAAGAGATCACTTGACATACATAGGCGCAGGTAGGAGGGTAATATTAAATTATATCCGAAACAAATTTCATTTGGCGTTGTGTACTGGGTTTATCTGACTTTGATAGGCTTCAGTGACGACTAAATTTAGAACACAGAAATGAACCTTCCGATCACATAAGTGCTGTTGGTTTCTGTTCCCAGCAATTATTAGCTTATCAAAAAGAATTAATTTGACGGGTTAGTGTAACGGTAACGCTGTTAACGTGTATCTTGGAGGTGCTCGGTTCGAAGCCGGCTGGGATACGACTGTTCTGAGTGATGGTTGCAGTGGTTTCCTTCGGTCCCTACAAACAAATACCGCCGTATTACCACGATTAAGCCACTAAGTTCCATTCTTCCATTCAGTGCTATATAATATAGCTACTGATTGCGTAATAAAAGTCCCTATCCCAGGAGGCTCTGTTCTATGGAGATAACTTCTGAAGGAAAGTTGGCACCGCGTAATGGCAAGTTTCGTCACCCGTCGAAGTGTTCCGAGCTCTTCAGTTTAGTTCGGTCTCTCCACGTGCAGTCGTTTGGGTTTGTGAAGTGCTCGATGCGTGGCTGGAGTCGAATGCGGTAAGTTCTATTAGTTGATTCTCCAACTATTTAACAATGCTGTTTCATTTCTAGTGGTTGTATACTTGTACTTTTCGACGTTCTGATACACGTTTTATTCACACGATATGTTGTTTCGCTGATAGGTCCGTAAAATAGGAAATGTATTTATTTATGGTTTGTGTAACTATGCAGTCAGCATTTCAGATCATGTAGCATTGAATGACGGAGTTATTAGTGAATAATGAGTTGGGAAGGATTTGGAAGAAAACAGTCGTGGCCTAATTTATGATAATATCTGAAAATTTCCCTGGTGGAGACGAGGAAAACCACAAAGGTCATCATTTAACGTTCCTTTTGAGATTCGAACCAGGTACCTCAAGCTGGGGCCTACCCAGCCTCCTATCCTGTGGTACCAGGGGCTCTTTCCTGGGAGTAAATTGGCCGGGGCGTGTAACTGACAACTCACCTCCAAGTAATGCCGAGGCTAAGAATACGTGAATCTAATACATCCACTCCCCTATACGTCTTCATGACGTAGGCTTATTTAGTTGAACACAGGGCCAATTTTACCTGTTCAGTACTGTGTCATGAAAGGTAAAGCTATCCCTATAACAGGCTGTGGAGGCCCATAGGGTTGTGAGATGTTGAGGCTCCCACATTTTCTAGACAATCAGCTCACAGATGACGGTGAGGTTGTCAGCCTTACGCGCCCGCCGCCCTTTACCCCCAGGAAGATTTCTGTTAGAGGCCCAGTTGGCCCCAGGGCCATAGTGTAACTAGAAGGATTAGGTAAATTGAAAAAAATACAATGACATCGGGAATCAAACCTGCGACCTTCCTGGTTGTAGCATAGTGCCTGAACCAACTACACTACCGCGTGCCTAATTGTTTCATAACATATGTAGTATAATTACATCTACGAAGGTATGCGTTTCAACGAGCGTTTGTGGCTAAGAATTGGTGTACATGGAGCTGTCTCCACACAGCCACACAAATGATGAGTGGTTGGCCAAGACGAGCCACAAACCCACGTGGGAAAGGATCTAAGACGTAAATAACTTATTGAGAAGTTTATTGACGTCAATTCGGAGCAGAAATCCAGCGTTTCGGAAACTGTAACTGTTACCGCCATCAGGAAACGACTTTGGACTTCTGCTTCGAATTGTTGCCATGCTCGCCAGAGGAAATTTTTATGAATATTATGACTTATTACATAGAACAGAATATTTTATCAATGTTGTAGCTGATAAATAGATCTACCAGTTCTTCGGCTGGGATACGGTTGCTTACATTTTCAGGATCATAGCATATCACACAAAATAGAACACAACTAATGTGCTTATGTTATTAAAAAGAAAAATTGGAAATGAGTATTAAACTTATATCGAAATCTCTGTCGCAACACTGGCATATCGCCATAACAGCCGTAGCTACCGTACATATTGGCAGAAATCCAGAGTAAAATTCGTCTCCTTTGGCATTTCCATTAGGATTTGAGATTCTCGTAGTTGTTATGAGGAGTTCTATTTTTTGGGACTAAATAATACAGCGCCTCAGAACCCAAAAAGAAATTGTCCAGTCTACAGACTTGTATGATGTCACTGTTACTGATCTTCTGGTGTTGTATTCCGTGTTCACATGAACCAGTTGTGTGGCCCCCTCAGTCTCCCGACCTCACTCCTGTCGACACATACTTGTGGGGCTATTTGAAGAGCATCGCTTACGCTAGGACAATACGATGTCTTCAGCGGCGCAACAGGGCTCAGTTATGCATTGCTGTAATGGTGGACCGTTTCAACATCTTCCGTAAATCGTTAGTAACTTGTCAGATGGTGTTCTTTTCACAGCTAACTAACTCTTATCCGCAACTAAGTAAAGTTGTCCCTGTGCTTAACTAATTTAGCACTACACTGTGACGGCGTACGGGGGAGTGGATGTATAGATCTACATTTTCTTGACCTCGGCACTAGTTGGAGGTGAATGGTCAGCTTCACGCCCCTGCCGCTTTACCCCTAGGGAAAGAGCCTCCGGGTACCTTTTGGCTAGGAGGTTGGGTGCGCCCCAGAGCCGGTCTGGACGTTGTGGAGAAGGGAGAATTCCGATTCGAACTCCGATCCCTCGGTCGTCCACCCCGTAGCCAGTCGCTGTACCCGATTACGCTATCCCGGCTCCTCTTATTTACCTATTCTTCTTTCCTCGTGCTTCCAGTATACGTATCTGATCGTTTCTGCTTGCCTATAGGTGCAGAGCCCGATCATTCCGTTTGAGATATGAAATTGAGACTCACCCTGTATGTACGTATATGTTAGAAGTATAAAGTTGCGGTGAGAGCTCTGAAATTAGGCAATTTCGTGCCACACACACAAACACAAGACGATGTAGACCTCTGATGGAAAGGAAATAACATCAAGTATTAATATGTACAAAAATATAAAATATATTACGTACATTTATTTAGTTTGTTTGAAGTGTTTGCCCTGAAGTCATATCTTATTGTCATTTTGATTGCAGTCCACATCAGTAGTGTACAGTTTTTTAAAAATAAATTTGCAATTTAAATCGTGCCGTCGGTAATACGAATCTAATCTCTGAAGCGTTCAGGAATCTTCCTTGTTTTCATGATCTCTGCGAGGACTTTAGCTGACTCCTTAGGGATGCGAGGAAGAGCCGGGTCTTCGAAGTCCACTGCATATATTCCAAACTTTTCGCTGAAATAAGAACAGACTTCAGATAAGACATGGATATAGAGATACGAACGCTAATACACATATTTTTTTAAAGTAATGGGCAGCTTAGTTTCTCAAGAATTTTCCAATATTCCGTGGAAGCCGAAGGTTCATTACCGTGTTCACAAGAGCCCTACACAGTATAGGGGCATTTGGAGGGCTCTTGTGAACAGTGCAATGAACCTTCGGGTTCTATAACATATTGGGAAGTTGTCGAGTGTTTGAATGACTGGTGGCCTCTCGATGAAGAGGGTTGACGTGAAGGAAGACTGCAGAAAACTGCATAATGAGGACCTTCATAACTTCTACTCTTCTCCAAGTATAATTAGAATGATCAAGTCAAGGAGGATGAGGTGTGCAGGGAATGTAGCACGAATGGGGGTGAAGAGGAATGCATATAGGATATTGGTGGGAAAGGCAGAAGGAAAAAGACCACTGGGAAGAGCAAGGCATAGGTGGGCGGACAACATTAAAAATGGATCTTAGAGAAATAGAATGGGATGGTATGGATTGGCTTGATCTGGCTCAGGATAGTGACCAGTGGAGGGTTCTTATGAACACGGTTATGAACCTTCGGGTTCCATAACATTCTGGGAAATTCTTGAGTAGCTGCAGAATTGGCGGCTCCTCCAGAAGGGCTGAGATCCATGAGTAAGAAAGTAAATAAATTAAGGTAACCTCTCAATAAGGACTCAACTCTCTGTAGTTTTTTTATTGCTAGTGAGGTGGGACTAAGTCCCTTGTACTGCGGCCACTTCTGGCCTATTGTACGAGCCCCAGATGATAGGTGAGGGTGATTGTGGAGCAATTGGTGGAATGAAGATTGGCAGGGGAGAAAACCTGCCCAAGCGACACTTTGTCCACCACAAGTCCCATCTGACCAGACCAGGGATCGAACCCGGGCTGCAGTGGTGGGAAGCCAGCGACTAACCGCTTGAGCTATGGCGCGGCCTCCCTGCAGTTAGTCAGGTAGTTACATAAGTACAGATGGTTAATTACAAGCAGTAACTTTGATCCTCAATCGTATTATTCTCTCAGGCTATGGGACTAAAGTATAATATTAAAATTGATCTTAGAGATGTGGGATGGGTTGGTATGAACCGGAAGTCATCCGCCTCAAGATAGGGACCAGTGGAAGGTTCTTGTGAATGTGTTAATGAATCTTCGGAAATTCTCGAGTAGCTGAGCGACTGGCGGTTTCTCACGAAGGACGGAGCACCATGGATCAAGGGACCGGGGGAGACATTCTAAGAGTTATGTTGACAGATAAGGCCGGAATGGGCGAACATGTGACCAACCGATGTTCTTCGTGGGTTTTCTCGGTCCTTCCATGAAAATTCTAGGGTATATCTAGAATAAGCCACGACCGTTTCCTTCCAGCTACTTTCCAATTATTATTTCACTTCTCCTACTTTTCGACGCTGTGCAGTCTGGATGCTTTGAGCATCGTAAATAATTCAGAAAAAAAAATAAATGAATGTCTTAGTAAAATAGGCCCTTGTTAGATGTTGGGACACCGAAACTTATTTCTAATAGACCTATCTTCAATACTCAGTAAAGGCGTGTCCACATTACTCGTGATCGTCCGTCTTTTACTTGTGCTCGTAAATCTTCGTCCACACTACTTCAGTTGCTCGCCAGGCTTCGGTGCGTGAGGATCCGTATATTTACTCGTAGTGTGTATAGGCTGTAGTCGTATTTTAATTTATTGGCTATAGTTTTCAAATTAAAAATTTGCTTGTTTCGTGACTTGTCATATCGCCCACCTTACTCGCGAGCATAGCGAGTTGCACGAGCACGAGTAATGTGGACGCGCCTTTAGAAGAACCGAAGGCCGCGTCATAGCTCAAGCTGTTAGTCGCTGGCTTCCCACCGCGGCGGCCCGGGTTCGATCTCGGGTTTGGTCAAGTGGGATTTGTGGTGGACAAAGTGGCGCTAGGGCGGGTTTTCTCCTAGTACGTCGGTTTCCCCTGCCGATCTTCATTCCACCAAACTCTCCGTCATCATTATCACCCGGGGCAGGTACAATAGGCCAATCAGTGGCCTCCGTGCCGAGTGGACCTAGTTGCACTCCACCCCCCCGAATTAAAAAAAGAAGAACCGAGGTCAGGTCGTATCTGTTTTGATTTATGCTTAGAGTATAGACAAATTTCTTTTTTTTTTCTCGAAAGATATTAGAGGCTTATTGTTAGTGTACAGTCATTTCTGTGTCTAATGCAACACAAACCATTCACAGTCTCTCTTTTATTTTAAAATGCCGTTAAAATCACATTCAATTTGCAGCTTGCTTCGGCCTTACAAGGTCATCTTCAGGCAATTGTTCACTAACTGCAACTGCCGCACTGCACCAATTCTTATGCCAATGCATCCCATGTTATTGCATATCGCCTTTTGCACAAAAATGTGTTTGTTTGGGAATGAACACTCTCTCTTCACTCCGCGTTGTTATTTTGCGGCGTCCATGTTGTGCCCCCTTCGTGTGTAGTTCTCGCTGTGTATCATTTGTATTCAGTTAGTGAACAATTGCCTGAAGATGTCCTTGTAAGGCCGAAACATGTTGCAATTAAATAAGATTTTAATGACATTTTAAAATGAAGGAGAGATTGAACGGTTTGTGCTGCATTGGAGACGGAAATGAGTGAACGAGTGATGATAAATCAATGCAACAGGATGCTGAAACATAATATTTATTTTTATTATTTATTTATACCCGGCCTCTGGGTTGTGCGTGAGGAGAAATGATGCAGGAAATATTTGGGGGAGTGATTTCGGTTGCATTGTGGGAGGAAGCGAGTGACAGTGTAATCCCGCATATCATTAACGTTAAAAGAATGGCACCTCTGTTATGACAAATGCCTATTGTTTCTCACCTGTATCCTCTCAGCCACTCGAAGTTATCCATCAGACTCCAGGCTGTGTAGCCTATTACATTAGCGCCATCTTCATGTATAGCTCTCAGCATTTCTTTCAGATGCTCCTGAAAGTAAACACAGTTTCCGAAATAATATTGCCTTTGTTATCTAGTGGTCAGAGTTCCTGGCTACGGATCAAGAGGTCCCGGGATCGATTCTGGAACGGGGTCAATTCAGCCTCGTAAGGATGATTGAGGAGATATTTCAAAGAAGTAGCGGCTCCAGTCTAGAAAACCGAAATTAATGGCCGTGGGGATTCGTTGCGGTGACTACGCGACACCCTCTATCCGCCAAAGTTGGCACTAACTTCGCCGACAAGCGGCGTTCGCTCGGTCGGTATAGTTCGCTTGCGGACTAAAACCACGGAGTTTGTTCTTTGTATAGGTACTCTGACTTCTACGTTCTGCCTATTTGTCGTCTATGTGCAACGACGGTTAACCGACGTTGCACATAGACGTCAAAGAAGCGGAACGCATAGTAAGATCTGCCGAGATTGAATAATTGTATATGTATTCAGCTCTTCAATTATTTGGCTCGGAGAGACTCTTAAAATAAGAAATAATTGTCATTCCTGATAGAAACTATTCTGTGTTAAATTGAGTATCAAATACTTTGCGTTATTAGTATTTAAATAGGCACGGTGTCCGTGCGGCACCTGCATGGCGCAACAATAAAAGGGCTGTTGGGAGAGGTGTTTTCTGTGTGGTCTGTTCCGAGGTACTTTAAGCAGGACAATTTTAAAGTTTAGTTAGTTGTGAGACGGTCGCTGGCCAGTAGGGACGCGAACACGGAAGTTGATGGGATCTATGGCGTTCGAAGCCGTTGCCAGGCAACAACTGGTGAAGACAGACTGAGAAGACTTAGTACGTGAACTGCTGAGTGTGCGAATTAGCAACAGCTCTATAGTTACTTGTAGTTACGATTTGTAAGTGTTCAGTAAATTCAATTTCCGATCCAAACCCTGTCTATAGTCACTTTATCATTTGACAGTATCGTCATGCGTGTTCAGAAGATCGTTGTTGGTTGTGGGATATTTATTTCTTGACATATCCTCCGCCAATATTAATACATTGTTCGCATCGCATTACCAGTGCATCAAAACCCGCATCATACAATTCTTGACTGTTGTCTCAACCACTTCGTCAACAGCGAAACGTCTGCCACCCAGTTACGAACCGCTTTACTCGACAAACACTTCCCACCGTAAACAGGGATCGTTTCTTTATGAATATCCTTTGCTTTGGGTCCTTTTGCCTACAAAAGACGCGCAATATAAAGCTGTTCTTCGGTAATACACTCTTCAAGCTCGGTCGCCATTTCGACTACTGAAACCAGCCTGTGAACATGCGCATGCGCGTCTGGTACCTAAACTCTCACGAAGCTAGACTGTGCTGCTACCTAGTAATACATATAGACAACTTATTACGTCCATTACAGCTGTTTTACTTCCATTTGTGACCTGTTTAGTGACTGTCCCTCATAGTAGCCATGGCGATTTAAAAGCCTGACTGAGAACTATGGAAAGAAATGCACTTACAGTGTAGTAATTTACTCGGCCCGTGTCGTTGAGTCCGCCGAGGTCCGAGAAGCCATTCTCAGTGATGAACACAGGAGGGTTGTTGTATTCATTCTTGATCCAGTTCAATTCCTTACGGAATCCCCACGGGGCCACCTGCAACAGTTTAACTAATCATATATTTACAAACAAATGCACAAATCATTTTAGGACGATTTGTCTCCCTGACTCCTATCCACAGTTGAAAAGGTTATGTCGAGACACTGCCCTAAGTTTTATTCCGTGGTCTTCCTCAGTCCCTCTAGGTAAATGGTAGAGTTGTCCCTGTGCTTAATTAAACACAGCACCATGAAGACGTACGGGGGAGTGGAGGTATAGTTCTACTATTCCTGAGCTCGGCACTAGGTGGAGTTGGTCAGCTTTACCCAAGGGGGAAGAGTCTTCGATGCCCATTGCATAGGAGGCTGGATGGGTCCTAGAGCCGTTCTGGACTCTTTGGAGAAAAGGAAGATGTCTTACCCTTGCACATACTCGAACCCTGGCCATCGAGCTCAAAGCCTGTCGCTGTATCGACTGAGATATTCCTGTTCACAAATTTCTGGCATAGCACCTCGAGATCACGCTACTAATACTTTCAGCAGGTTCTACATTCGCCAATCATCCTAACATTCGAAGTTGAATTACTGATATCAAAGTTAAATAAGTCACAGATAAGTAAAAATACAATTAAAATGTATACAACTGCGCGATTACCTGTTGTTTTATATGGGTGTCAAATTTTGGCTCTTACATCAAGAAATGACCAGACAAGGTGGTTCAAGAGGTAATGATTCTGATTTCTGTTCCGGAGGTGACCTATTCGAATCTTGGTCGAAACACCGACTATCCTGTCTCACATTGTTTTTGTAATTTTTCTCAGTCCCTACAGACAAGCGCGCGGATATTATCTCAGGTTAGACTACAACCACTTCCACGTTCTTTCCAAATTATTACTCAGTATAGCCTTCCACTCGGCACTAAGTATTCTGAGCTTCTACCAACTTCCTTGAATTTGCCGCGCCATAGCTCAAGCGGTTAGTCACTGGCTTCCCACCGCGGCGGCCCGGGTTCGATCCCGGGTCTTGTCAAGTGGGATTTGTGGTGGATAAAGTGGCGCTGTGGCAGGTTTTCTCCGAGTACTTCGGTTTCCCCTACCAATCTTCATTCCACCAATTGCTCCACAATCACCCTCACCTATCATCTGGGGCTGGTACAATAGACCAAAAGTGGCCGCAGTACAAGGGACATAGTTCCACCCCACTAGCAATAAAAGAACTTCCTTGAATAATCCACAAATATCAGAAACATGCAAAATGTGAGGGTTTAATGGATGTGGTTGATACAGCTATTATTCTCTGGGATGTGATGGCTTGGAGTCAGGTAGAACGTTAAAATATTTCGAAGGAACTTATCTCCGCCATCTGCCACTCTGAGGATGGAAGGACTACATTCCTCCGAAACGCTCATAACTGTACAAGACTCAACGGCTTCACATCCCAGAGAACAGCTACAAAGGAATAAATAAGGAAACAAATAGAATGCGACGACTTTCTTGAGGAGCTGAGCCACTGTTAGAAGAACTGTGTTCTTGGGAGTGTAAGTTTCGTGGAGTGGGGTGAGATTGAGTCCACTTGGTACGTCGGCCAGTAATTGGCGTATTGTACGAGCCTCGGAGGATAGATGATGAGCGTGGGTCAGTCGATAGAATGAGAGTTGGCAGGGGAAACTTCAGTATTCGGAGAAAACCTGCCCCAGTGCCACTTTGTAAACCATAAATCCCACCAGGGATCGAACTCGGGCCGCCATGGTGGGAAGCCGGCGACTAACTGCCTGAGCTTTGGCACATCTGTTTTCCTGGGCGTTAGTTACTGTCCTTGTTTTTAGGTTTGGCCAATGCGCTGTGGGTTTGATCGAGTCAATTAACTGAAACTGGAAGGTTTGTGTCACCCTCTCCCCCTTTCTCAGTGCAGTTCCAGTTACTATCCTCACTTTACACAATTATCCCTTCCGTGTACGCGGATCCCAGAAGCCAGTCAAAAGAACACGGCCTGTATATATGAATAAGTACGTACCCTAAGCCATGATGAAGCAGATGCGGGCCATTCATCATCTTGCGTTAAAATGACGCCAGAATCCCTGTATCGTGACGGCTCGTAGCCCTCCACGCCAGATTTACCCCGTAAAGCGGTGTAGAAATTGATACCGAGGAAGTCGTGTGTTCCTGTCACCAAAATCATCATGATGAATATTAGGATATTTATCCCAACCGACATACGAGTAAATGGTTATGTCATTTCTCTCATCACGAATATATTAAGTAAATAATTGTAAAGCTATCCCTGTAACAGGTCTTGGAAGCCCATAGGGCTGTGAGACGTCGAGGCTCCCACATTTTCTAAGCAGTCGAATCACAGATGGCGGTGAGGTTGTCAGCCTTACACGCCAAGCTATCCCTGTGACAGGCCGCGGAGGCCTATAGGGTTGTGAGACGTCGAGACTTTCACATTTTCTAGACAATCGGCTCATAGGTGGCTGTGAGGTTGTCAGCCTTACGCGCCAAGCTATCCCTGTAACAGGCCGTGGAGGCCTATAGGGTTGTGAGATGTTGAGGCTCCCACATTTTCTAGACAATCGGCTCATAGGTGGCTGTGAGGTTGTCAGCCTTACGCGCCGGCCGCTCTTTACCCCCAGGAAGATTCCTGGTACTCATTTCTGTTAGAGGTTGAGTCGACCCCAGGGCCATAACGCGGCTGGAAGGATTAGGTCAATTAAAAGATTTAATGACCCCATCGGGAATCGAACCCGCGATCTTCCGGCTTGTAGCATAATACCACACCCACGAATATGTATTACTACATGCATGTCCTTGTAAGTAAATACTTTGATATTTTTGCGATAAAAGCGCCATGGTAATTATAAAAGGTTAATCAACCCCGTCGAGTGTGACTGATAACATGTTTTTTCTTCTTTTCCTTTTTAATCTTTAATCCCTGACATGTTTCGGTCTTAGAGACCATCTTCAGGATATATCAATACAGGCAGAGCTGGTCAAGCTAAACCGGTAAATCAATACAACAGAATCGCCCGTATTGATACGTCCTTCTGAAGATGGTCTCTAATACCTAAACATGTCAAGGATGAAAGATTAAAAAGGAAAGAAAGAAAAAGCATTTATCAGTCACACTCGACGGGGTTGATTAACCTTTTATAATAATTGCTAGTGTGACGGACCAGGATGAACCATATAAAAGAAAGCACTATGGTAACACTGGACGAGAGATTTCTTGACCACTCTGCAGAATTGAAATCATGCTGAAGTCATCTACTTACCTCTGATATACGCCACTTCCTCTGGAGTGAACTGGGGCAGCCGTGAAGAAGAGTAACCTTCAGCAGCACTGTTTCTGTTTACCCTGTCCTTCAGCACGGCAGGATAGTCACCCTCTTCACTGAAGATAGGATGAGCGTAGATTCCCAGCTGTGGAGTAAAAGTGTTATTAATAGTTGACAGGAAATCTGTAGGAAATGAAGTTTACATACCATCAGATTAATATAAATATAACTTCGCCGACAAGCGGCGGTCGCTCGGTCGGTATAGTTCGCTTGTGGACTCAAGCAACGAAGTTTGAATTAAGTATATTTTACGGGCTATAAGATGAATAGCTGGGGTTCAATTCTCAGCAAGGGAAGAGTTTTTCTCTACTCCATTGCGTTCAGACCGGTTCTGGGACTCCATATCCACTACGTACCGGGGGTTAAAGCGGCAGGGACTTGAAGCTGAACGCTCCCATCTAGTTCCCAAGACAAGAATGATGGAGCTATACCCCCACTCCCTAACAGTTTTTCATAGCGTGGTGCTTAATTGATTAAACACAAAGTCAGTTTTACGAATTAAGTAATTCTTTATTATCCATGTATAAAATAGACAAAGATCTGTCCGTCTGTACTTTCCTCCCGGTTTTTCCCATAGAAAAGAATGGTAAAGGCAAATGGTGCGCCTCTTGGAGAGATAAGCCGAAAAAATTTCTTAAGTGTGCTGTAACATACAATGGTTCGATTCCAGGTCACTTTACTTCCTTGTTCTTTCCTCCATAAGAAACACAGTGGCACTGTGACGACATTGAGTTACATAGTTTTCGTATAGTTTGAACCAACCATGGTAATGGAATTTTTTTTTCAGTATATTATACCGTGATATGTTTAAGGCAACTGAACTATTTGCTTGTTCGATTATAAATGGCGCACTAAAATTTTATTAGCGTGAGATTCCAAGGACGTGCAGGTTTAGAGAGGGAGAACAATTCCTTTATATGGTCTGTCCCACGACAATTATATGATGAATGCCACAGACAGGACGCGTTAACCCAACGAGATGTTAAATGAAACCACCGCGAACTATAAAACTATTTTCTAAAATTCTGTACAGTTTTCTTTTTGCGCGCCAGTAAATCATTAATCACTCATGATCTTTGTATTCGAAATAACAGATGGGTGTTAATTGCCGCATGCTTTATGGCGCGAGTATACTTTTTCCAGTCTTTAATATTTTACAATCTATATATCTGGACGCCCGTCTCAAAGGGCTCGCCATGCAACACAAAGAAATTGTACATCTTGGAGAGAGAATCCGTTAATACTATTAAGTCTTCTGTTACTTTCATGGGTTAGAATCCAAGGAAATCTTTCCCCGTTGTTTTCCCATAAGAAAACCACAGGGACCACGATCTGGGAAGTGGGCGGTCACACGTTGAGTTGTTTATAATTCTGTAAACACTAGCATTGCCCACGCGCAGGTGAACGGTCCACTAGCTTGTGTAGTGCCATCTGTTAGCGGACTCAGTGATCAGTGCATACTGAAGCCTTCAAGTGGCGCCTATAGTGGTGTTCCCGCGCACTAGTTGCAACTGGTATGATCCGGTTAAGTGGACATAATCTGTACCTAACGGAACCATTCAACATCACGTAGAATGACTCGTTTACGTTTCAGATAAAGTTTGAGTGGTTTTGTGTGGAACAGATTGTTTATATCTTGCGTGTATTACGGGATTTCAAGGTAAGCTCCACTTTTTAAAACGGGACATGTTTTTTTAACTCTCACGAAAGCTGTTGAGAAGATCAATAGGAATTAAACGGCCATAAACTGAGTAAAAGTTCGCGGGATGTCGTCACTCAAGGCGTAAGAGTGAACGTAACTGCTCATTTGAGTCTTGTTCATTAGCTCTGGAACTTTTGTGAGAGTGAAAACATAAAGTTCCTCTTTAAAAAGTGAACTTAACCTTCATGTCGCGCAATAAATGCAGATACAAGCGATCAGTTTAACATATTTGTTCATACGTGTAACTACCGTCTTAAATACAGCACTTGCAGCCATTCGTCTTTCATATATATAGTGCTGTGACATGTTACAACATGTTGGTGCATACACTCTCGATAACAAATTGTTGCACTGTCATTTTAGTATATCGCATGTGAAGGCGTTAACAACAAACTCCGTTGCCTGTAGTCCTCAAGCGAACTATAGCGACCGCCGCTTGTCGGCGAAGTTAGTGCCAGATTTTGCGGATAGAGGGTGTAGCGTGGTCAGCGCAACGGATCCGTTAATCTCTCTTTTCTAGACCGGAGCCGCTATTTCCTTGAAATAGCTCCTCAATTATCCTTACGGGGCTGAGTGGACCCTGTTCCAGACCCACTACTTCTGAGAAAATCTGGTAGCGCCGGGAACCGAACCCGGGATCTCTGTATCTATAGCCAGGAACCCTTACCGCTAGACCACAGAAGCGGTCCCGTCTGAAGGCATTGGTATTTTTGATTTTAGAATCTTAAAATCTGAAGAAGAAAAAATGCTTATTCATCCCCCCCTCGTCTTGTTGTCAGGTGTCAGTGTTTTGTTTGTTCCTGCGGTGTGTGGACTCCCAGCTAAGTTGGACTGTGCTATGTGTGCACAGATTATGAATCAGAATTTGTATGAACTTTAAAATATTTTAAAGATTTTTAAATTAAAAATAACGCGTTTACATGCGACTTACTGAGATGACAGACAGTGCTACAACTTCAGTAAGAGTGCATAAACCTGATTGTGACAGAGTGGTGCCGAAACATGTTGTAATAAGATATATAAAAGACGAAAATAAGTCTTACATTTAAGACGGTGGTTACATGTATTTTCACGTGGTTGAGCAACTATAGACGGGATTTGAACTGGTAATCGGTTTTATTGGTCACTTATATTTGTAGAACGTTAACTACGACGCCGTCTTACTGAGTTACACACTCCAAAGATCACTGCAACTACAGAACAAAGTCTTCCCAGTCTTCAAAAGTCGTTGCTTGGTAGCGGCTTTCAACGATGGATGTTCCCCTTCCTCTGGGTTCCCGAACTCAGCTACCAGCTTCTCACTTCTCACTTCTCACAACTGTAACTCCCTGGCGACTGAGCCACAACTCGAAGTCAAAATTCTGTTAGACCGACGGTCAGTCGGCCAGTCTGTCTTGGTGTCAAGCACCCTTATGGGGCTCAAGACCAGATTTTTATTGTGAGGCAGTTGCAGGTTTGTTGATATGGAGCGCCTTCTCTGACGAGAGGACGGGTCTGTCGTTTAAAATTTCTGCTGGCCCTCGCCAGCGCCGTCATTCTCGGGTATGAGTGCCGCTAGACTCAATGACAATATTTTATTTTCTCAGATTCGTGACTCCCCCAAAATGGAGGGCCAGGTCCCCGTACTTATATCTCCAAGGAACAGGGTTGCCCAGTTAGACACCCAGGCACTGGGTTCCCTTTTCGTCGCCTCCTACCTCTCTCAGGGCTACGGTGCAGGTATTCGAACCCCGCTTCCAGTCGGGAGGTCTGACTCCAACCACAACTGAACTAATATTCCTCGTATATAGCCCCGGCACGGACAGCACAGAGAACCTCTCTTCCATTATTGCGTGTTCTCTCGTCGGGGAAACGTGTCCGCAGGGCTGTTCCCTAGCAACGGCTGTTGTACTGTGATCTGTTTATACAGCTGTTACTTGACGATGGGTCTACATATCACAATATGTACGGAAGGCAACAGCGCTAGACAACAAGGTGCTAATGTACGGCAGCAGCTTCGCATATCCTGTAGCTCCCTTGAAACCGAAAATATTTTGTTCGAAGCATTTCCTGATGCAATGGGTAACGAAGTAATTATGCGAGATCATGTTAACTGGTTCACTCTGTACATAGAGTGAAATTTACTTACGTTAAACTGTTGGTAATTTTCGCACGAAGCACGGTCCTCAGCAGAGCTTGACGCCGGTTCGCACCAGTTTATGTTGAGTGCAATTCCAACTTTTCCTGCACGTAAAAATGCATATACATAACATGCAACCCTTGCAAAAGCGTTCTAGTTCTCATTTGGGGTCATTACCCCTACACTTAATGCTGGTTAGACTGTATGTATAGAACCTGATAGGTAACAAATGTTTTGAAAATGTGGCACAGTTCAGACTCTTTGGAACGACGTTAACAAATCAGAACCTGATTCAGGAGGAAATTAAGAGGCGATTGAACTCGGGCAATGTTTGCTACCATTCAGTCCAGAACCTTTTGTCATCTCGTCTGTTGTCCATAAACATAAAAATTAGAATATACAAAACTATAATTTTGCCTGTGGTTCCGTATGGGTGTGAAACTTGGTCTCTGACATTAAGGGAGGAACATAGACTGAGGGTGTTGAGAAGAATATTTGGACCAAAGAGGGATCAAGTGACAGGAGGTTGGAGAAAACTGCATAATGAGGAGCTCCATAACTTGTACTCTTCTCCAAGTATAATTAGAATGATCAAGTCAAGGAGGATGAGGTGGTCAGGGCATGTAGCACGAATGGGGGAGACGAGGAATGCCCATAGGGAATTGGTGGGAAAGCCAGAAGGAAAGAGATCACTGGGAAGATCAGGACGTAGGCGGGTGGACAATATTAAAATGGATCTTAGATAAAATGGGATATTATGGACTAGATTGATCTGGCTCAGGATAGGGACTAGTGGAAGGCTCCTGTGAACACGGCAATGAACTCTCGTGTTCCATAAAATGCTGGGAAATTCTTGAGCAGCTGCAGAATTGGCGGCTCTTCAAGAAGGGCTCAGCTCCATGAGTAAGTAAATATAGAACCTACTTCTGACACTTTCTCGTCAAAATCAAATCAACGATACGGATGTGAATCTGCACTGTATGTATCCCTGATTTAACGGACTAATTTGGGAGGGGGTCCGCTATTGCCAAATCTCAGTAAAATGACATCTGTATGAAATCAGAACTCCTTCAAATAACAAGTGATATATTTTGAAACACTCCGCAACCCGTATTTACGCGGAAAACGACAAATTTGGCCATTATATCATGCATTAGAAAACATGAATAAATAATATTAAATTACTTATGTCTTCAAACAAGGAAAAACGCAACAAAACGTTATGTTTTGGAATTACTTTGCACCTCTTCCATGTTAATTGTCAGTCCTGGCGAGAGAATTACTCCATTTGCTGAGGAGGATGTAGGGAAGTTATCAACCGGAAAATAATGGGGAAGTGAAATTGAAGTAGAGCTACCCCTGCAACAGAACATGGAGACCCATAGGTCGAGGCTCCAGCACTTTCTAGACAATCGGCTCACAGATTGCGGTGAGGTTGTCAACCTTACGCGCCAAGCTATCCCTGTAACAAGCCGTGGAGGCCCATGGGGTTGTGAGACATCGAGGCTCATTTTCTAGACAGTCAGCTCTCAGATGGCGGGGACCTTGTCAGTCTTACTAGCCAATCTATCCCTGTAACAGGCCGTGGAGGCCCATAGGGTTGTGAGACGTCGAGGTTCCCACATTTTCTAGACAATCAGCTCTCGGATGGCGGGGACCTTGTCAGCCTTACGCACCAAGCTATCCCTTTAACAGGCCCTGGAGGCCCATAGGGTTATGAGACTTCGAGACTACCACATTCTGTAGACAGTCGGCTCACAGATGGCGGTGAGATTGTCAGCCTTACGCGCCAAGCTAACTTTGTAACAGGCCGTGGACCCCCATATGGTTGTGAGACGTCGAGACTACCACATTTTCTAGACGTCAGTTGCCTTTGAACGGACTACACGGCGTTGTATCTCAGAATAATAGTTGTATAAAAAATTTAGCCCTCTGTTCTAATTCTTGTGCGTGGCAAAAAAGGGATATCCCAGTTAGCTCCTAGGACCGGATCGATGAGTACCGCTGCTCCTGACAATGGACAGAACGTCTAGCATAACACACCATCCTTCAGAACCCTTTGAATGTACCTCCTTGCTGTGCTCTGAACTCTTGATCATACAAATGGTAGATTCTGGCATGAGAGTGGATCACAGTGTGCGCCGCAAGGTAGTCACCGATACCGGGTGTGTTGATTGAAGGTGCCATTCCTATTTCAGATGCATATCCATCCATGAAGGTCAGGGGTTCGTTGAATGTGAGCCATAGCTTCACCTGGAAATATCGTTTAGTTGTAAAACCAGTATCTGCAGTTATTTACATAAACTGTAACAAATATAGAATTAAAATGTTTCAAATTGACTGTTTAAGGAGTTAGTTTCGTGTGCCAAAAAAGTTTCCTCAACGGGCAGGTGCCCAGGTTGAATCTCGACCTCGACGTGGACTATCCTGAGAAGTATCATGATTTTGTTCAGTCCCTCCAGGCAAATCCCGAGAAAATGTCTTTAATTGGCAACGACCTCTTTCTCTCACATCTTTGCAATTTATTATTCTATATATTAACCAGACATTCGACTTTATACTGGGTGTCCCAGGAGGAAAGTTCAGTATTCTTGGAGGTCATAGTATCTGGCATTCTAAGCAAAAATATGTATATGTACATGCATCCTATTCCGAACGGTTTCCGAGAGAGCTCTATTTCACTGTGCAGTTCCCAATCTTTTGATAAGAAAGAGATATTACGTACTGTTTCTAATACCGGTATTTGTTGTTCAAGTGACAAAGTTGGTACAGTTTACTCAGTATAATACATTTCCGAAAATTCCACCGTCAACATCAATGCACTTTGCAACTCGTGTGAGAACATGGCGTGTTGCTCGTCTGTACAGTGTACAGTGTACTGTGCAGTGAAATAGCTCTATCTTGGTGCAACTCGTGTGAGGACATGGCGTGCTGCTCGTCTGTACAGTGTACTGTGCAGTGAAATAGCTCTATCTCGGTGCAACTCGTGTGAGGACATGGCGTGCTGCTCGTCTGTACAGTGTACTGTGCAGTGAAATAGCTCTATCTCGGTGCAACTCGTGTGAGGACATGGCGTGCTGCTCGTCTGTACAGTGTACAGTGAAATAGTTCTATCTCGGATACCGTTCGGAACAGGACACATGTACATATACACTTTTTCTTTTAGAATAACCGATACTATGACCTCCCAGAATATTGACTTTCCTACTGGGGCACTCTGTATAGTCTCAATTACTGGAAAGTATAAAGTATACAGTGTTCTAGAATGTGACTTCGTGTAATCTGGTAATATCAGAGTCGGATATAATGGGGGAGCCACTGGGGCGGTCACCCCTGCGCCGCCACAAAACAAATAGAACCCATAGATTTTATTGAGACATTTGCTTCCAAAAGATCACTAGAAGCTTTTTAGTAATTTTAGTTATTGCAAGAAAAATAAGAACAACAAAAAAGGACTGTCGGAACCTAGTTTCTTTTGCCTCTGCATTTTGATTGCCCCGGGGTACCCCACAACTATAAATCTGGCTGTGGGTAAAACGTTGACAGACTCTTGCTGCTTCCATAAACAAGCGGCACTACGCCATTTCATAACACACAAGACCCCAATCTAAGTATTCATCCCCATTAAATCTAAGTCACATCTGCGTGTGCTTTAGGGGGAGTATAGAAAATGAACTCACCCTGTCTCCAAAGTTTTTAAACAAAACGCGAGCGTAATCTTCAGAGTACTTTGCTAGTAACAAATTTGGCCATCCTCCTAGATCTTGGAGTGGCTGAGGTAGATCCCAATGATACATAGTAACCTGGAATATAATTCAAACATAGCGTATATCGATACACTCCTTTCATTCACATTGAATTATTAGTATGTTGAAATGCTTTGTGGCACACAATGACAAATATATCGATAACAATTTCCATACCCTCAGAATTAACACTGAAATGTAAAAGCTATTCAATTTATATACTAGGAGCTGGGATAGCTCGGTTGGTATTAAGTTACCGACTGGACGATCGGGGATCGGTTCTCGGCAGGGCCAAAAGATTTCTCTTCTCCATACAGTCCAGACGGGCTCTGGGGCCCACTCAGTATCCTGAAAAATGTGTACCTGGCGCTATATCTTCGGGAGTTAAGCGGCCGGATCGTGATGCTGACCATTCACCTCCATCTAGTGACGAGCTCCAGCTATACCTCCACACCCTCATATTCCCTCAAGGCATAGTGCTTAATTATGATATTAATTACAGGGATAACTTTATATCCCGGTCGGTATAGTAACGGGCTACGGGCTAGACTGCCGGGGTTCGATTCCCGGCACAGACAAGATATTTTTCTCTATTACACAGCGTCCAGACCGGCTCGGGGGCTCACGCAGACTCCTGTAGAATGGGGACCGTGGTTATTTCCCCCGGGGGGGTGGATTTTGGGTCGTGGAGGTGACAACCCACCGCCTAGTGCCATGGTCAAGAATGGTGGAAGTATACCGCAATTTCCCCACATGTTTAATTAAGCACAGAGACAACTTTGTCTTTTAACTTTTGTATATATACGTACTGTAGGTATGAGATCTGTCATTTTAACTACTTAATTTCGGATTACCTTAGCGATGAAGTGTCGAATGTTAACACGATACGTGAACGTATTTTATATGGCAGTACACGAATGGGTGAGCAATATTTTGCTTCAGTATATCATGTCTGTTATGTGAATATTGGCACTATTTTGATGTGTATATCTGAACTGAAGTACACTATACAGCATAAAGAAGGATTTGTAAGATTGATTATTTTTGTATGGTATTCGTGGGAGGTGGTGTTAAACGTTGGCCTTGACACGTGATTTGATGACATAAGACCGGAGTATACTGCAGGAGAGAGCACGGAAAGTTAATAGTATAATAATAATAATAATAATTTAATTTTCTTTTCTTCTATAGAAAGAGCATAATTGGTGTACGTTGTGCATTTACAGTTTCATTCTCTTTAGAGATTCCTTGTTAACTTTCGCAACAAAATATTTTCAGTCATTATTACTGTGATGTTCAGTGGTACTTACCATTGGTTCTATCCCATTGGCTAACAGCTCGTTTATGATGTTGTTATAGTAGTCAATGCCGGCCTGGTTCACAATGTTATCGTGTCCCTCTGGGAGAACACGGGACCAAGATATGGAGAAACGGTATACTTGTGCCTGAAAATGTTAACAATTTGCTCATAAATTTTCTTCTGCCCCTCCAACATAATGTTAAATAAGAGTCTGTGAACTTATTCTATTTCCCTTATAGACTGGCAAAGTAGCAGGTAAAATTAGCTTCGTATATTAAACTTCACGTTTATAAATCACAAACGGGGAACAACGAAACATTCTGGCTGGAACGTTAGCAAGCATTCCCCGAATTTAACATGATCTTAATATGTTAATAATTATGTATTGTTACTGCCCGTGCACCGATGCTTCACAGTATACGTATAAATACATATAAATGTGTGCTTTCTGAGATCCCAGTACGTTATTTCTAACTATAGTGGAACAGACCAAAGAATTCTCACAGATCACCCCCCACCCATCTTCCTGCACACCCATTTACTCTTCCCCCCCACTCCCTATTCCAATGCTGTAGTACTCGTTCTACAGCATTAGGTGAGGGTCACCAATAGGCGGACTAGGATGGTAGAGGGGGGGAAGAGGCCCTCCCCTCCCAGCAACTTTTACCTCCACTACCACTGTGAATTCGTTGGTCGGCTGGATTATAGAAGTTAACTGTCCCTGATAATGTGCTTTCGAGTTCTATAAAAGCCTAGATGAGCAACTGTAAGGGTTTCAAGGACACTACAGCAATGAGTTTGTACAACCATGAACAGTTACTTACCCCAAGCTCCTTGAGAATTTTAATGTCCTCCTTGTACAGATGATAGGAGTCATCTGCTTTGTCTCCTGTAGCACCATCGACTACGTAATCAGGGTGTTCGTGTGTCAGTGTGTCCCAAATGTTGGGACCCTTTCCTAAAATGTGGGACCATAAAAGAGGAGCGTTAACAAAGCCGTTTACGAGTGAAATTTGGTACCTTATTCTGAGGGAAGAACATACTATATCGAAATATTTGAGAACTGAGCTTTGAAAGATTAAGAATGAGGCCAATTTCGTCGTGAATTCCTGATAAGTGCAACACGACACATGACCTGAGGTTCACACAGCTTCGGTCATAAAGAGTCGTTATCTTCTTGGTCAGGTCGTCTGGTGAATCAACAGACGTTTCTGAGTAACTCACTGCCTCTGGCCGCTCTGGCTTCCCGCGATCCCGGGTCTGGTCGTGGGGTTTGTGGTGGACAAAGTGGCGATGGGGCGGGTTTCCCCTGCCAGTCTTCATTCCACCAAATTCTCCATCATCATAATCACCCGGGGCAGGCTACAATAGGCCAATCAGTGGCCGCCGTGCCGAGTGGACCCAGTTGGACTCCACCCCCCACTAAGCGAATTAAAAAAAAATTAACATCTTGACAGCTGTAAAATTTAATAGAGGCATAACTCAAACTGCAGACCCATACATCAAAAAGTGGGATAAGTCTGCGACAAACTGTTGATTCGAATGCCGGAATCAATCTCCAAGAAACTCAGTATTTATATCGTGCCCTCTGAGACCATCTTAACGGCTTATTTCATAAATCCCTCTCATCAGTAATTTTGTTTTCTGTCCCAAGTGTCTTAACCATATATTCAATTTGCAGTGAAAAGAAAGTAGGCGGTTAGTTCTTCCCAGAACTTCTTGCTTGATTTAGATGAATTCAGGCTTCAAAGGGTTAATGAAAGGCGGATGATTGTAGGCAGATGAGGTAAAATGTTTATGAGATCTGTGAAGAATCATTGTAAAATAACTGAGAGCATAATAAAGACATGAGGCCAGAACCGGCGATTTTGTCACGGAACGAAAAAATCAGAGGAAAATATGGAAACATGAAAGTGAATCTCCAAAGAATGGTTTGAACCTGCACACCTAAACAATTCGCAACATACAGAATATTGTGACATGACGTCTGAAAGCCGGCTTAGTGGAGCCAGAGTAGACACTCATTGCTAGGTAACGACTCGGTCAACAGGATCCCGCGGCAACGAACACGCAATCAACAGTCGCGGCATTGTTGGGCTATAACAATGGTGTTATGGCCCAGATTTGAGATTGAAGAGGGTATGGTATTACCCAAAAGCTAGAGACTTGCGAAAAGAGTTTCGCAGCTATTGCCGTAAATTGTAAACACCAGGACTGGCAATTAGGTTAAGAATGTGACTGCACAGCAGGTCTCTGTCATCACAGAGCAATAGCTTACCTCACTCGGACACTGGATTTAATCGTAAGAGACTGCTTACGCAGCAATAAGACGCAAGGGGTCCGCCCACAACCACCCATGAGAGCCAATGAGGAGGTTATTATGAGGATTGAGGACACTGAGGGGGAGTCAGCTACCCTCTGTCGTCAACGCTGAATCAGCGAAAGAAAACGATAAATTAGGGAATTTCGGGGGATTTGAAGGACGTTCTAACACAGAATATTCGGTTGTCAGCCGAAGGCTCTCTTCAACATGGGTCTGACTAGCGGAGGCAGTGGGCCTGCATCTTGTACTACAGGTGGGTTTGTTTACGCATATTAGCCATGATGATTGATAATATCGTTGTTTCATAGTATTGGTGATACAGTGTTGTCGAGCTATTGAATGTGCAATTTCCAGTGTACCCAGTGAGCCCTGAGGGTAGGATAATAGGTTCATGTCAAGGCCTAGGATATTAGCCAGGCAATCAGTGATTTATAGTATATATGTTAGGGTTGTGGTTAGTATGTAGGGTAGGA